AAGCAAAGATTTAATTTTGTAACTCCATACTTTAGAATTCACTTAAATCTCATATTGTTGTTATTTAGTGGCTAAATCCTATGGACCATAACCCACCAGGCTCCTCTGTCCCTGAGATTCTCCAGGCAAGAATTCTGGAGTTGGTTGCCATTTCCTTCTCTTGGATCAGGGGATCTTCCTGACCCAGGGTTTGAACCTACATCTCTTGCATTGGCAGGCAGATTCTTTACCACTGAGCCACCATGGAAGCCTGAATCTTACATTAGTCCGTCATTAAAGAGGGAAATTAACTTGTTTCTAGATTGATTCAGTATCCTTTGCTTTCCTGTCATTCCACTACAGCTGTTCCAGGAACCTTCCTGGATACCAAAATCTGCAAATGACTAAGTCTCTTACAGAAAACGGCTTAGTACACTGGGTCCTTAGTATCCATGGATGTTTAATCAGCGAACTGACTGTAATGGAAACATTCATTACAGAGAACAAGGGAGGCAACAAAAGGCAGGCTGGTGTGGCAAGGGTACAGACCTCCACCCTTACCTTTGCTGCCAACTACATGAAAGGTCTTGCAGAAGTACCTTTAATCTCTGTGACACTCAGCTTTTTCGTATGTAAATAGGATAAGTATGCTTGCCCTAACAACTTTCCAAGGTTTCACTGAAAATCTAATTGAGTGAAAAGTACTTTGAAACCCATAAAATGCAATATGAAAACATAATATATAAATACAAATATAAAAATATAAAATAGGCTCTGTTACAATCCATGAATAGAATTCTCAGTGAAATAATTTTTCTGTTGTACTTGGAAAGCTTCAAAGTGCTTCATTTTGCAACAGAATATATATATTTTTTATAGTAAGGATAGGAAAACATTTATCCCATAGATGCTTTTGGAAGGTATCAATTATTACATATTAGGTTTTCACTAACAATTTATTAGATATTACTAACAATGCTTAGACTCATCATGCTAGTATTAAACAGAGACCAAAATCATCTTTCATTAGTTATATTAATTTAAATAGCATTTTAGTAATCTGAAAAAATTATAACATTTGTAATAGAAGAATACTAAGAATTTCATAGTATTCACAGAAAGATCCTCTGGAGAGGGAAATGGCAACACACTCCAGTACTCTTGCCTGGAAAATTCCATGGACGGAGGAGTCTGGTAGGTTACAGTCCATGGGGTTGCAAAGAGTCAGACACGACATGAGCGACTTCACTTTCTTTTCTCTTTTTCACAGTATTCAAGGTACATTATTTCTTTCAGCCAAATTTCATCTTATTTTTCTGTTACAGTTTAGACAGCACAGTAGAAATTAAGTCTACTTATAAGATGAATCCTACTTTGTAAGGTAGCACTTCATTTTAGTGTTTAGATTTGGATATTGTCACAATATTTTTTTTGTTTTAATAAAATTTAACAGCTTGATAGTAAATAGAGTTATATTTAATTGTGTTTTATCTTGGGCAGGTGAATTACATTCCTTTTTTTCAAAGAAACAGTATTTCAGTTAATAAACCTGTTAAAAGTGTGAAACTCAAACAGTCTTAATGTCTTTATGACTTTTAACTACATTAAAAGTCTGTAAGGAAATATAATTTATACAAGAAAATGCTCACAATGTTTTATTTTTATAATTATATTTCCTGGCACCTTAAAAATTTTATCATTTCAAGCATGCTGTGAATTTAATAACCATCTTCTACCAAAGCAAACACTACTGTAATTCTTTTTCAAGTTAAGATACATTTTGTTAACCTAATAAACACTATAAGAATGGCAATGATTCAATTGTGCACTCCCAAACTGAAAAATAATTATTTTTAATTAACAAAGGATATAAATATGAGGCAGAGAAGCATAAAATTATTTTTTATAATTGCAAAGCCATTCACACCTGCAAAGATAACTTCATGCTGATTTCTTTAAGGCAGCTCATGTCTCAGCATCATCCACTTCCTAGTACTCATGGATTCACACTGCTCCCAATATTGTCTCACTTTCGAATGCTACCTTGGTACTAATAGAAAAAATTTGGAGAACAATTTCCCTGTTTTGATGAGGGCAGCCCTTCCCATCCTTTTTCACTTCTATAGAAATTCCTCAACCAGTTATGTTATCTTAGTGCAGAAAGCAGTGAATGCCTTCCATCGCTGTGCATCAGAATCTCCTAGAGGGTCTTTTAAAGATGCTTTTGCCAAGGCCAAATCCTGTTCTGATCCATAATGTTTAGGCATGGGCTTGGGAATGTGAATTTTCATTACATGTGGTATTAGTATGCTAGGGTTGCCATAATAAAATACCACAGACTGGGTGGCTTAAATAACAGCAATGTATTTTCTGTCAGTTCTGGAAGTTAGAAGCCCAAGACTGAGGTGTCAGCAGGGTTGGTTCCTCCTGAGGAAAAATTCCCCCAGAAACTAACCTCTGTGGCCAGCAGTTTGTTATGTAAGTGAATACTGAAACATGCCAATCAAAAACGTTTTTCTTACAGAAGACATAATACAACTCTGGTCAATCAGTAGTTAACTTAGTCACCTCTTTTAAGGTCTTATGTCCAAATACAGTCAGATTCTGAGATACTAGAAATTAGGGCATGAATTTGGGGGCAACACAGATCAGCTCCTAATGTATGCCCCAGTGTTCCAGACACAGGTAACTCACGGTTCATACCTAAGCAAACACCAATTTAGGCTGTAGATCACCTAAATGTGCACACTCACCTCAGTCACTTAGCTTTATGTGACTTACTATGTAACCTCTTTCAGGAGGGTCTTGCTACCTCATTCCTAAAGAAAAGTGTCATTTGGTTTCCATTCTTACTGTCCATCATGCTACATAAAATAGCGTCTCCCGCCCATCCTGTCAATCCCTGTCTCCTCCACTCTTTTCGTCACACTTACCATCACTGACACTCTTCACGAGAACGTAAGCTCCGCTTTGTTTTGCTCACCACTGTACTCTCTCTACCCACCCCATGGATAGAACAGTGACCCAGGAGGATGAGAGTGTGCTGCAGGTGATCGTGTTCCTTCTGTCAAGTAAAAAGCAAGGTCTTCCGCTGAGAAGGAACTAAGGAGGTGGTAAGGCAGGAGGCCTGAGAAAAATTAAGATTTGAAGATCCCTATGGAGAATGGGAGAGCAAGATTAGAGCGAATTCAGGAAGAGCTGGCTAGGCAGGCCTCAGAATTCAGCATAAGTGGGGGAGCCCATTTATGTTTCCGATACATTCTATTGTATGATCTCCAGCAGTTCTCACAGCTACGGAGGAGCAGAGAGGGCAAAATGGTTATTTTGATTTCTCAGTGATTACCATTGCTCCTTGGCATAACATTCAAGGCTCTTCACCGTAAGTTCCTATTTACATTACCTGTTTGCTTCTCAGTTATACCAAGTTTCTTCTTCCTCAAATCCTCCTATATCCTGTCTTTTTTAGTGCTTTCCCTTTGAATTCTCAAACTTTCCCTGGCTAAACTTTCGGTCGGCCTTTAATGATTCAGCTCAAATATTCTATGTTGAAAATGCTCCCCAGTCACCTCAAGTATTAGCCATAGTGCTAAGCTCATTCCTCTTTTAGAGCACAGTTTTCAGAATACAGCACTAGTTTCAAGATGCAGTTGTCATTTACTGTGTGATCTTGAGCAAGATATTTAACATTTTTGTCCTTCAGTTTCCTCATCTGTAATATGAACACAATGATAAGCCCCTATTTTAGAGAACTGTTTGAAATGATGAAAAGATATATCAGCAAATGGTGCTATTATTGTAATTATTTGCATGTCTTCCTCTCTTGAAAGTTCTTCAAAAGCAGGAATTGTCATTCACGTTAATGTTTTTAAATTCCTAACATTTGACACAGTGCCTGGCACACTGTAGATGTTCCAGAATTGTGGAATAAATTAATGATCAATGGAATTAAAGAGATAGTTGAAATTGCTACCAAGGTATATACACATTTTTTCTTAAATTAGAATTACAGCAAAGAAAGAGCAAGGCTAGGGAATGCACACAATAAATCGTGCAGGGAAGAGAAGTCAGCTTTGGTAAAACAGATTGCTTCTTCAGGTAAGTAAGGAACACACAGAAACCATACACTGAGCTAAAACAGACATGGACATTGTGTTCATGTAACTTACAGTCAGATACACTGTCCTGTCACAATAGCCAATACATAACAATGACCACATGTACAGTTTCAGACTTTCTGTCTAACCCTCTCAATAGACTAAACTCTGAGGTCAGTTTCCTATTTACCTTCGAATCTCCATCACCCAGCAGTGTTTAATACACACCAAGAGCTCTATATGGAAAGGTTTAGGAAATTAATGACGTGCCACAGAAAGAAGCGAAACCACCAGTAGGTCCAGTCAAATTAAACACTTAATTACATTTTCAGAGTTACTTTCCACAACACAAGCAGCGGAGAATTCACTCCCGCTAGAGGAGCAAGCTCCTCTTCCCAAGCTCCTGGGATCCTCACCCACAATCGGTTGGGATACACGAGAGAAATGCATGACATAAACAAATTTTCTTTGGATTTCAGCGATTCAACAACCTAGTCTAATAAAGCATCCGCAAGCCTAACTGTATTACGTAACTCAAGCTTCCTCCACTTCTTGAGGTACCACACCCGAACCTATTTAACTAGCTTGGTGCCTGTAGGCGCAAGGCCCCGCCCGCGATTCTAAACTAGCCAATCCAAACTGCCAGAATCGGTAGCGCGGTGTCTTCTGGGATCTGTAGGCTTCCGAGATTAGACTTTCCCCGGCGGCCGAGCTTATTCCCGGCGGCCGTCGGGCTCCAAAGGCCCGCCCTCTTTCTGGGGGCGGACCCCGGAGCAAGCCAAGGGGCGTGTTTGCGCCCCACCTCTACGTAGCCCGATACGGTGCTGGGGGTGCGGGCCGGCGGATTCCCACGTGGTGCGGAGATTTGCGGTTGCCGGTTCGCGTCCTTCTTGACTTCCTCGGCCTGTGAGCTCTCTGCCTGCAGAGATGCCGAAGATCAAACCAGCGGCTAGCGGCCGCCGCCGCGAGCGGCAGCAACAACGCGGGCAGCTGAAGAGCGCCGGAGGTGGGGACAGCCGCCAGAGAGCTGGGGTCTCTTGGGTTGGGACTTCCGATAGGGCCGAGCCGGGGGCCAGGGCGGAGTTCTGGCCGGGACAGTGAGACCGGGAGGGGCCCGCGCTCCGGGAGTGCGCGATTCCCGGGTTCCCCGAGCCACGAGCGCAGGCCCCGCGCGCCGCCTCTGACTTTCTTTCGCGGAAGGGGTGGAGTTAAAACAGTCTGTCATCCAGGCTCCTTACCGTGACGTTTGGCGCCCCTAGCTGGCGCGGATAACGTCCCCTAGCTATCCTCTTCTTCTCTGGGACGGTCTAATGTTTTTAATTGGGAAATTAAGGCTATTTAATGTTTTATTGCAGGACTCATGTTCAACACGGGGATTGGGCAGCATATTTTGAAAAATCCTCTCATTGTTAACAGCATTATCGATAAGGTAGGTGTGGAAGAGGAGAGGGAGAGAGTTACTGGGTTATTCATTTTGATTTTAGGACTATTTGAGCACGGAAAGGATTCCTGACACAAAATAGTTGCTGTGTAAATACTTGTTGAATGAATTGAAGAATTGTGTAGGATTCGCAAGTTCTCTTCAATATGATTTGCTTTATTCTGTGAGTCTCGAGTTCTGACTCCAAATTGTTTTATCTTGCCGTAGATTATTTACTTCTTAGCTTGACACTTCTACTTGTTTAATTCCAGATTATTCTTCTTCTATTACCAATCACTTTTTCTAGGCAGCATCTATCACTATTAGTTTTTGTTTACTCCAAGCCCTAAAAAAAGTTGGCTTAAAGCTCAACATTCAGAAAACTAAGATCATGGCATCTGGTCCCATCACTTCATGGCAAATGGCATCTGGTCCCATCACTTCATGGCAAATAGATGGGGAAACAGTGGAAACAGTGTCAGACTTTATTTTTTTGGGCTCCAAAATCACTGCAGATGGTGATTGCAGCCATGAAATTAAAAGACGCTTACTCCTAGGAAGAAAAGTTATGACCAACCTAGACAGCATATTGAAAAGGAGAGACATTATTTTGCCAACAAAGGTCCGTCTAGTCAAGGCTATGGTTTTTCCAGTTTTCATGTATGGATGTGAGAGTTTGGACTATAAAAAAAGCTGAGCGCCTTACAATTGATGCTTTTGAACTGTGGTGTTGGAGAAGACTCTTGAGAGTCCCTTGGATTGCAAGGAGATGCAACCAGTCCATCCTAAAGGAGATCAGTCCTGGGTATTCATTGGAAGGACTGATGCTGAAGCTGAAAGTCCAATACTTTGGCCACCTGATGCGAAGAGTTGACTCATTGGAAAAGACCCTGATGCTGGGAGGGATTGGGGGCAGGAGGAGAAGGGGACAACAGAGAATGAGATGGCTGGATGGCATCACTGACTTGATGGACATGAGTTTGAGTAAACTCTGGGAGTTTGTGATGGACAGGGAGACCTTGTGTGCTGGGATTCATGGGGTCGCAAAGAGTCAGACACGACTGAGTGACTGAACTGAACTGAACCCTAAAAATATATCTAAACAGACACCTTTGGAAGTTTGTTCCCCAGAGAAACCTGTATGTTATAAGCCAATGCCACATGTAAACTCTTTCAGAGTATTGGGTTATTGATGTTTTCTTATTGTTTCATATGATTGGGAGCTAGGACAGGAAACGCTAGGTGGTGCAGATCACTTGCGTGGTTGCAAAGGAAGTATCCTGGTGCTGTAGAAAGGACATTACCTGGGTGAGAGATGTCAACTTAGTGTCGTGTGCAAAATGAGAACTGGCCTAGCTTTTTAACCTTTTTGGCTCATGAATTCCTTTGTGCATCTGATTAAAGTTATGGACTTTAATTATTATTAAAATTTAAATTTATTCTTATTTAATTTAAATAATTAAATTATTAAATATTAAAAATTACTAATTATCTGATTAAAAGTTATGGACAGAATACTCCAGCTATGTGCATACATACACTTTTTTTTTTTCTGCCATATGTTGAGGGTTGTGGGATCTTAGTTCCCACATTAGGTATCTAACCCCTGCCTCCTGCAGAGGAAGCATAGAGTCCTAACCACTGAACTGACATTAATTTTTGTGCACAATTTCTGGATCCTTCTGCACCCCTGAAACCATATATGGATATGGAATTGAGAAATACCAGTACAACATGCTATGGTTCATCATTTTGGTCCTTCCATTTTGAACCTAGTGATAATAGTGTTGGTAACAAGGTGCTGTTGGAATCATTTCAAAGACAGAAAGAAGAATGCCACTCTTAGAACTGCTGTTCCTACTTCTCTGACTCCTAACTATTGCCCCATGTTAGAGCTGTTCAGTTTCCACTTGTGTCTGATGTTAATGAGATAATTTTCTTAAACATAGATCATGAAGCAGTCTCCTAAAAATGGAGTCAGAATAAGATCTCCTAACTGTGCACTTTTGAGGTAAGATATTCTGATGTACATTATGTTTTCAGATGTGCCTGTAAAGTTAAAGTAGTTGTGCTTGCTTGTAGGCTGCCTTGCGACCGACTGATGTGGTGCTGGAGGTTGGACCTGGAACTGGCAATATGACTGTAAAGTTGCTGGAAAAGGCAAAAAAGGTAGAGAGGATTTAGTGTTTGGTATCAGATATCATGTGAGTAAGCTCAGGTGGTTTACAGGTATAAATCTGTGTTAATCGATTGCTGTTATTTTAACAGTAACTCTTGCTCCTTTGCTAGAAACTTTATCTTAGAAAATATGAGCAAATTGGGTGAAGTGAGTCAAAAGGTACCAATTTCCAGTATAAAATAGACATGTCCTGGGGATGTAATGGACATTATGATGACTATAGTTAACAACACTGTAATATATTTGAAGGTTGATAAAGAGAGTAAAAATTCTTATCACAAGAAAGAAAAATTGTAATTATGCGGTCATAAATGTTATATATATCAAATCATTGTGTTGTATACCTGAAACTAATATAATGTTTTATGTCAATTATGTCTCAATTTTTTAAAATGGATTAAAAGAAAAAAATATGGGTATATCAATCAGGAAAACAAACAACATTGGATACTTCAATACAGGGAATTGGTTACATGGTTGTTAGAGGACCAAGAGAATAAAACATTGAGGTTAACCCAAGAGTAGAATTACAAAGAGCAGCTACCACCTCTCAGCTCAGGGGAACAAAGCAAGGGGATTGGAGTTATTGGACTTAGAATGCTGGAGGAGATTTAGCACAGGCCTCCGAGACTGGTTGCTGCTGGTACCTTCTTTGTCTCTTGGTGGATCCAGTTCCAGTTAAATCGGATCATTGCTGTGTCTTCTGGTGGATGTAGGCAACACATGTTAAAGAACTTATCTGGAGAGAGTTCAGTGAAGAGGCCATTGACAAGATGTGGGAATGTTAAGGGAACCAGTAAACATTTAGTGAAAAACCTGGGGACTAGCAACAGCAGGAAACAGTTACCATCCAGCAACCTCAAGGGACAGGCGGACGGAGCCCTGAAAGAGGGACAGGGACCACTCATAGCCAGACACGGCCGCTGCCAGAACTTGTGCAAGGCAGGCGCGGACATTAGGAAGTACTCAACCCCACCCCTTGGATCCAGTAATGCCTTCCATTAGCCTGGCCCAACAAGAAGTCACAGGGCGAGGGAGCTGGACTGTATTACCCTATAGGCACAGCAAAGCTGGAGAATGGATCTGGGAGCTAAACAGACTAAACCTCACATATATCTGCTCTGTAGGCAGGGTCTTCCTGGAAGTCAGCAAAACCTCAGCTTATACTGAAATAAAATTTCAGCCTATCTGGTATCCCTTTTCATTTACTTGAGAAGGTATCTGTGCTATATGCTCTGGATCTTAGTAGGTGAGAGAAGTAATTTACTCATTCCAGAGCAATTGCTTTGTATGCTTCTAAAGAACATTTACTGCACAGACATATTGTGTGTTTTTTTTTCATCATCAGTTGAATTAAAAAGCATGGAGCCATATGAGCACAGAGATTCTGTCAAGTATTTGGGTAGGACGGTCACGTAGTCTGGCTGCCTACTTGTCTGGGTGATGTTTTTTGTTGTTCCTTTAACCCCCATGACGCATTTTGTAAAATCGTCTCTTCATTAAATTCTCTTCAGATAAGTTCTTTAAAATGTACTGGTAGAGTACAATTGAAGAATAATGATGGTGGAATTGGGAAAAGAATTTTAATTCATTTCAATAATGTAAGTTCCTATTGAGATAACAGGAAAAGATTTATTCTCCATAATTAACCTACAAAAAAATGTTTTTTTTTTTTTTTAATTTAGGTAATTGCTTGTGAACTTGACCCAAGGCTAGTAGCTGAACTTCACAAAAGAGTTCAGGGCATGTGAGTATACATAATAGAATTAAAGTACATTTCAGTCTCATGAAACAATGTTCTTTTTAATTGCTTTTTTTTTTTCTTATTATCAGGCCTCTGGCCAGCAAACTTCAAGTAATGGTGGGTGATGTGTTAAAAACAGATCTGCCATTCTTTGATGCTTGTGTGGCAAATTTGCCCTATCAGGTATGTTTTCAAAATGTAGGAACATTATATTTACTAAATGGTTTTCTGGTGGGTCTTTCCCAGAAATAACCAGTTAATTCTTTTCCAGATCTCTTCTCCTTTTGTCTTCAAGCTGTTGCTGCATCGACCTTTTTTCAGGTTTGTGAAAAGAAGACTAAAGTTACTGCCAAATCTTGGAAAAATTACAGTTTAGGCCATGAACACAGATGGCTAAAGGTTAAGGTTAATTCAATAGAAAAACTACTGAGGAATGTGTTTTGTAGAAAACATCAGTCTGTGTGCTGCTCTGTCCCACAGTCTTCAGCAGTTGCTAAGAGTTATTTGGGAGAGGTGTGGTCTGAGTCGAGCTTCTGAGACCAGATGCCTTTCTGTATTTTCTTATGCTTTTGTTTTTAGCCCAGGTCACACTTCTTATGTCTAGATTCTTAAATGTCCTGCTAACTGGTTTCTAGTACACTCTGTAATGGTGATTTTCAAATTGCAGGTCAAAAACTCCTTAGTAGGTATAAAGTAAATTTAATGAGCCATGACTATCATTTTTTTAAAAAAATGACATGGAATGGAATATATCAGAGGGCATTCATTTCATGTCATCTCGGTGATTATAGTTTCGTGAAACTCTTGTTGACCTGAAATACTCTCTCATCTGATCATTGAGGGCTTACATTCACAAGGGGTTAGAGCTATAGCCATTATACAATGAAAAACAAAAAGACAGCTGGGTCATTCTGTGACCCAGCTTTATTCTGTGGGAATAAAGCTCAGGCTGAAACTGTTCTCCTCCCTTCTGGCCAGCTGGACTTTTATTAACCACAGCTATTGATTTACTGTTTCCCACCTAAGAAAAATCATTGAAGTTAAAATACATTTATAGTTGAAAATGACCTTTCTCTTTTTATTCCTTTCTGCTGTCTTTTCAGATGTGCTGTACTAATGTTTCAAAGAGAATTTGCTCTCCGACTGGTTGCAAAACCTGGAGATAAGTTATACTGCAGACTGTCAATTAACACACAGCTGTTAGCACGTGTGGACCATCTAATGAAAGTAAGTGACTTGTTGAAATGATGGGGCTTGGAAAAGACCCTGATGCTGGGAGATTGAGGGCAGGAGGAGAAGGGGACGACGGAGGATGAGATGGCTGGGTCGCATCATTGACTCGATGGACGTGGGTTTGGGTGGACTCCAGGAGTTGGTAATGGACAGGGAGGCCTGGTGTGCTGCGGTTCATGGGGTCATGAAGAGTTGGACACGACTGAGCAACTGAACTGAACTGATCATTGAGCATCTATCTGTGCCTTCTCTGAGGAGAGCATGTATGATTACTATTTTTTAAAAAATTTTATTTTTGGCTGCAGTGAGTCTTCATTGCTTTGTACGGGCTTTCTCTAGTTGTGCCGAGCGGGAGCTGCTCTTTATTGCGCTGCACAGGCTTCTCGTCGCAGTGGCTTCTCTTGCTGCAGAGCATAAGCTCTAGGTGTGTGGGCTTCAGCAGTTGCAGCATGCCAGCTCAGTAGTTGTGGCTTGCAGGTTTAGTTGCTCCTTGGCATGTGGAATCTTTCCAGACCAGGGATTGAACCCATGTCCCCTGAATTGGCACTTATCCATTGCACCAGCAGGGAATTCCTGATTACTAATTAAAGTTGTTTTTGAGAGGACTACTTAAACATTTTCTGATTAACAGGTTGGAAAGAATAACTTCAGACCACCACCCAAGGTGGAATCCAGTGTGGTAAGGATAGAACCTAAGAATCCACCACCACCTATCAATTTTCAGGTGAGGTTAAAATAGGGTCATTCAATAAAAGGAAAAAAAGTCAAAGGTGGAAGATGTGTGTCTGTACCAGCAGAAAAATGAGTCAACCTAAATGTCTAAATAGGAGAATATTAATTATAATACATCCTGTGATGGAATAGATGGAATTATTTGACACAACATAGTTGTTGAAGACCTCAAGAGCATGGAAAATGTTTGCAAAAGATAAAAAGATTAGAAATACCATTGCAGTTTGCTGACGATTATATCTACAGAAAACATGTATCTATTTAATAAGACATGGGAAACAAGATAAAATGAAAATAGTTGTGTTACAGTGTGGGTAACACGGTTTAATCAGAATTATAATTTTTGCCATTTAAAGAGAAGAAAGTTAGATGACTTGATGTAAAACCTCACTGTAATCACATTGGATAAAAACATATGTATATGGCCAGTAGCTGATGGCAGTGGTGTGGTTCTCAGCTATTCCTGCAAGGTTTAGCTAGGTGTATTACACAGGCTGTATCCTAAATTATGTCTATTTTGAGTCATGTTTTTTGAAAATGATACTTAGATTTAAATAAATACAATGTTCTTTGTTCTGATGTGGCACAAATATGTTTTCTATTTTTAAAACTGAGGGTAAAATAGTCAGTGAGGTGCACAAAAGTGTGAAAATCAAGTATAGATCTTACTTTTGCATATGTGAACTAGCCACATCAAGATATAGAACATTTTTATCACTCCAGAAGCTTTCAGTTTTATATATTAAGACAAAATAGTACCTACTAGGTATTGGTGGGACTTAATATTTTCTAAGGAAATACTATCTACTGTTTCAGGAATGGGATGGCCTAGTAAGGATCACCTTTGTTAGGAAAAACAAGACACTGTCTGCTGCATTTAAGTAAGTATTTTACTAATTTATGATATATGAGGGATCAGTGCTTCAAATACTGTGCTAAGCGCTAAAATTTGGTCATTTTCCTGAACAGTATTACCCTAAAGCATACACATGATCCATGTCCAGACACACTTTTAATTTTGTACTTTAGGAGGCAAGAGAATTTAATGAAGAAAAGTTCCTGGACTTTGGAATTAGATTAGATCAGGTTTGGTTTTTTTGAGAAATGGGAAAAACCCTAAAACTATACCCCACATCTCCCTTTCTTTGGAAAAATGAGGTGACAGATGGACCCCTTCCACACTTTAGAAAGATTCATGGCATTTTAACTTGGAAACATATGATAGCAATTTGGGGCCCAAGGTCAAAAAAATGGTGAAAGCCACAATGAAAAAATTAATTTTTGAGATGATGTTTTTTGTAATCTGAAACTTCCTAAGAATGTAAGAGATGTCTATTAGGTTTAAATATTAGTAGTTGTGATTATTTCAGAAGTTTTAAATATTCAACCTTTTTTAGTTCTTTAATTTTACCATGTGGAACATAGGCTTAATCTTACAGTAAAGGAAATTTATAATCTGTTTGGAGTAATAGTGACATCATTTCTTTATGTAATATAGGTCAAGTGCAGTGCAACAGCTACTGGAAAAAAACTACAGAATTCACTGTTCGGTCCATAATATTGTAAGCAGAAAATGTTTTTGTTGTTTCAATAATTTGTGTTTTAAAATGTCCATTTCCTACTGTTTCCTATATCATTACAAAACTCTTAATTATGAACATTTCATAGTATCCTTAAAAGACAGTATGTCATGTATAACTAGCAGGAGAACGTCAACTCTAATAGTTCAGTGCTGCTGTGTATTTTGTAGAACGTATCTGAGCAGCCTTGAATACTCTATCCTTTTTTACTGACAGTTTTTTTTCTTTTGGCTATAAAAAGATTCAGTTGAGTCATAATTTTCTCCCAAGTTTTAACCATGTATAACTTACTCAGCTTAAAGTTATTTGCTGGCCTTTGAATTGTGGTCATCCCTTCTTGCTTGTTGCTCACATAGAAATTACAAAGTTACCATTTTCTCAGTGACTTTTTTTAATACCCAGAAATTGAAATTAGAATAGAATTGAAATAGAGATTGAAATAGAATAGAATAAAGCAAGTGATAAATAGCAAGCTCTGGTTGTGAACCTCATGTCTTTTACCATTATCTGTGCAACATTTTCTTTAGTTGTGTGAACACACAGACATCTATATATGACTGTGATGTTTGATAACTTTTTAGTTTTCCAATCTAAAGAGTGGCAGATTAAAGGAAATTTCCTTTTTTTTTTTTTCCACTCAGCTCTTATGTGGTTTAATGTACCGGTAGCATAGCTACCTCCATTTTATGAATACAGTCTCCAAACAACTACCTACATAGGAAATACTAAGTTGGATTAAGAAGTTTTTGGATGGAACATGTGAAGTGTGAAGTATTCTCAAGTGTTAGAGAGGCTATCTTTGAGAAAAACTAGCTAGCTAGTTTAATGAAATTTGTGCCAAGAAAATGTTATTTTTAAAAGATATTAAAAATTGCTGTAAAATTTAGTTTACAGCTTTAATTATGTTATGAAGTACTTTGTGAAGCCTGAAATGTAACTGTTTCAGAATTTCTAAGAAGAAATAGGGCAGTATACACAATGAGTATTTGATATGTGCTGAAGATCAACCACTTAATGAATTAAGATGCAAGTCTTATTGACACAGATAGGCTTTCCAAAACTATCATGAAAGGATAAAATGACTGTTTATGACTTACTGAACTGGGAAAAAAAAGAGTCAAGGTGACTTCATTAAAGATCTGTTCTTCATTTATTCTGAATCTTGTATTGATAGATAATACCAGAAGATTTCAGCATAGCAGATAAAATACAGCAAATCCTAACCAGCACAGGTTTTAGTGACAAGCGAGCCCGTTCCATGGACATAGATGATTTCATCAGGTAACTACATTTTCCTTTTACTACATGTTTACATTTCTTTACTGTGACACCTTCATATTTAGAGATTTAAAGGCTTTTAAGCGGTTATAAGGTGCTACCTGGGAGTTATTGCATAGCACTTCCATGGCATGGAATAGTATTTGGTGTAGAAGATGGAGGCTAGTTAGCTGCAGCAGAATGAACATTTTCTGTAAGAACAGGAAGTGAAGAACAGTCCCAGCCTGGAGATAACCTCTGTGACAGTGTGAGTTATGGTGTGCGTACTTCTCCCTTCCAGCCCCCTCCCCAAACTCCCATTCATAGTCTTAATAGTTTGTCTATTCAAAGTAGCATGTCAGGTAGAAGAATCAAAGAATAGCTTTTAAGTATGAAATAATATTAGTTACAATCGTTATCTGGTTATCATTGCTAACTGGTTCAGTAACTTATTTCATGGACTGAGGCAAGTTCTACACACCAGAAGTAAAAAAAGAAAGAACGATGTCATAATTAACCGGGCAGTATAGAGAAAAATTTGTTTTTCCTTTCCTTCGATTAAGCAAGTAAATATTATGAAAGCAGAGTAAGGTGTCAAATACCCAGGTAATAATTGACCTGGATTCATTGTTTTTAATCACTAACACTTTGATTTCCTAACTAAAAAACCATAAAGTTTTGTCTCTTTATCCATTTTTAAAGCTTCCATGATCTAGAGGCTGAAAAAAAGAGGGTAGATTGATATAAAAGTCACTGGTTTACTTTATGCTAGAAACACAGTTGTATGTAGCTGAGACAGATGACACATATTTTATTGGCAGGCTAGCAGTACTACTGTTTTCATTAGATGTTAATGCCAGGAGTTGAACATTATCCATAAGTACCCATCTTTAGATATCTTAACCCTTCTTGTTGGTTCTTATGGGCCATCCTGAAAATAATCTCAGGCAGGTCTAAATAGAAATATTTCATCTTATTTTCCTTCATTCTTATTAATTTTCTGCAAGGTTACTAAACATGCAGCTTACTAAAACAGTGATCTGGTAAGTACATAGGTATCCAGAGAGAAATAAGTATTTGAGTCTGAATAACTGAGCTCAGAGAGAAGAAAGGACACATGAGATTAGCCATTCATCTCTCCCATGTCTCTAATTCCAAATAGCTTTGCATTCATTTACCAGGTTGAAATGGAACAAGTACCAATGTGCTCTTAGGCCAGGGTTACTGTAGGTCTAAGATTATTTTAGTTAAATTCATCATGCCTTAAGACATATAGGCTATGACAGGAGAGGCACCAAAATGAGGTGGCATAAACTTAATTGAAGAATAAAGCTTCTTTACTGACATCTTAGGAGTATTTGTGTTTTAGAACTCATGGTATAGGGACTAAGTACGCATTGTTACTTACTACAAACTAGCGTTTCAATACCATCCCACTTGGTTTTTTTTCAGATTGCTACATGGATTCAATGCAGAAGGTATCCATTTTTCTTAGGTATCTGAAAAAGAGAAGTTTTTCAAGCTCAAGGAAAAAAAGTGGAATTATATATTCTTAATAATTTGAAAAAATGAGCTATGCTTGGACAGTATGTGCTTGACTACTTTTGATGTACTACTGTTGTCACCATTTATTTCTCTGAATTTTTAAGAAAGTAAGTAAATTCTAAGTGTCCAAGGTTTCTTTGTATTTTGCTCTTTTTTGTTTGTTTTGGTTTAATATATAATACAAGGCAGGGTGATAATAATCTTCAAGAGCCGCAGATACGCACAACTTTACACTTCAAGTTATTTCTAACAGTGTATAAAGATGTTACCCTTTTATTTTCTGTTATATATTATTGTGAAAACCTTTTTTAGGCTTTTAGCTCTTCAGGCCTTTGTCCTTCAAGTCATAAAAGTTAAAATGTTTAATTTAGCCACATATTCCCCATACCCTTTCTTCTTGTTATTCATGTGTACAGTAAAGCAGTTGTCTTAAAATGTTATTTTGCTTCTCGAATTCTTTCTGTTTTCCTGTCCAGTTTCTATCCCTGCCTACCTCCAGCAATCCTGTAGTGTTAACAGGCTACATCAGGGTTTTAGGTAAGCCTGAGCCTGCTGCTGCCACCACACGGTGCCAGGTATATATCACTTCTGGGCATTCCTTGTAAATGAGCATCTCAACTAGAATGAAATTAATTATAAGACTGTATGATTTTTTTTCTTGGGGAGACGGTCATAGACTTAAAATTTCAAAGAGTTTTATAAATCAAAACTGACTTTAAAGTTAAAATCTCTGCTTTTCAATTTCAAAACAAACCAACCCAACCAGCCATTCTGCCACAACCACAGGTTCCTGAGATTCATGATTTCTGGGTAATTAAAAATTTCAATAGATGTCATAAATAAGTCTTAATTAGCTACAATGTTTAAATCATTATCAATATTATATTCAATATTGTAAATGTCCTTTTACAAAGAATTATAGTAGTTGACTATTTTATTTATATAAGGAAATAAAAATTTTTTCAGTGACATTTGGTTTTCTTTATACCTAATTTAATAGAAGGAATATCTCAAGATTACTTTAACAGAGATCCATACAGCAAGTGAACCTAGAAGGAAAGCTAGGTTGTTTGCCTAAACAGATTTTTTAGAAATCTGGCCTCAAAGTTATATATTAAAACATTCCTATATAACTAAAATAATGTATATTTTTAGTTAATTTTAATTATTAAGGGATATCAGCTTTCAAGTCTGAGAAAGTAAAGAACGTTTAATCCAGATCCAAAAATTTTTAAGTTATTCTTTAAATAGCTACTGCATAAAGCCACTTTTGTACATAAATAGTAAATAATAAGAGTAGGTTTTTTTTAATCTCACAAAACTACTTAGCAAAGTTTACTTGTACCATCTCTATCTTTAAAGATTTAATTCAGCTTTCCCTCTTATTTCCCTGTCCTCCTATGAACTGCCTGCTGTTTTAGTCCCTCTTATAACCTTCAGATTTCCCTATCTATAAAACAGAAGGAATGGATTATACTACCAAGATCCTTTCTGATACTAATGTTTAATATACCTTGCATGCTATTCAGAATGAAGCCTTTATATAGTATAAGGCAGTGTATTTCAACTTCAGGAGACCTTCCACAGATAATACCCTTTTAATTTAAATAATAAATTAAGACTAATGTGTTGTGCTTAAAATGAGTAAATTCACGTTATCTCTTTATGCCCCTTGAAGGTTGGTTAGGCTCAGAAACTACCTTTTTAAACAGCCTCTGTAAGGTCAATACTAACAGTTCTCCATTCTTCCTCTTCTCCTTGAAATAAACACAAGTAGAACATATCTCACAGCTGCAAGAAAACCTGAGTTCCTTCCAAAACAAAGGTGATTGTATTGAAGTAAACTGTCTCTAAAACTCATTACACAGATTTAATTTATTAATAATAAGCACACTGTGAAAATCTACATTTGTACTAGATTTCAAGTTTACAGAGGAGCTTTTCACCATGGTGTTAGGATTTCCCATGACTACCCTTTGAATTCTATGAACAGTGAAGTAGGGAGTCTGGCTCATATGACTCTCTATTCATAGCTTCCCTTTGGCCCACAGGAATGAGCTGGTAGTTCCCTAGAGTAAATCAAAACAAGATATCCCTGGGAGACTTTTTGTTAATGTACTCCTAGACACTATCCTGGGAACTGAGGGAAAACTCCTAGAGAGATAGAAATCTTCTAACAAAATATTTACATGAAAAGTGGCCAGTTTTCTTCCTTGGAATAGCAATCTGTAAAAATAAGTGCCACCATTTAAAAAGTAGCATGCCCTAGATGAACTGATTGGTGAGAATTTGGTGGTTCTCACCAAATAGTGGTGAAACATCAAACATTAGGTAATGGGTGGAGCTTGGGTTAGATCTGCCTTTTACAGCGAAGTCAACTCTTTAGCTTAAATTCTTTCTCAACATAGTTATGTACTGTCTACACTTGGCTTAAACTAACAGTTCTATTATGGACTACTTTCAATGTACATGTACATATTCATGCATCAGAAGCCAATTTCCTTTAACTGTACCATTTAAAAGGTACATTTTGGGGTGCTAATGGACACTTCAACTTAAGTAATGGTATTGGTAAAGATCAAATTGCACTATTAGTCTTGGTAATACCACACTGGAACACACAACTGCGTATATATGTATTATCCTAAGATAAAACTCTTTTCAGAATTTCATTACTTTTTATTATACACCAACTAGTTTATATTTTAGTTCTTTACAAAGAAAATGCTAAGAAAATTATAACCACATGTTATATGGTTTTAAAATCATAATTCCAGATTTTTTTACATATAAGATGGAATGGTCCAGCAGCTATGTCCACTGTCACAGACTTTAGTTCCATTCAATGATATGGCACATCCTGCAAAATTAACTAGTCACACACAAAAAAAAGTCTCAATTACAGTAAAAATGTACACACAATAAAGGTAATTTACAATGACAAGGAATGTAATTTATCTTGGCTGTGCTTCAGAAATTTAGGGTCAATAGCCTTAGTCAAGGCACAAAGCAGGAAGAGGTGAGCACAGCTGTTTCTAGAAGTGGGCAAGGTATGTACAATCACTGATGAGGTATGCATGCACGCAAAGGATTTAAAACTGCTCAGTCTTGCCAAGAAAACTGAACTGAGTTAAAAGGAAATGCTGTGGCTTCCCCTTACTATTCACCTCTGGATCAAGTCCACAATCTTACTTCATCATATAGAAAATAAAATTGGCAAGGATCTCCAAAAGTAACTCACTATCTGGGTAAATGAAACAAAATGCTTCACTATTCCCAAATCTTGGTTGTGCCTCCTGACTAGAAGCATCTTGTAGACAAAGGAGTGTTTCACAAAATTGAAATGTCATTCAGGTGAAGGGACAAGACATTTTCCACAGACACTTAAGATTTCAAACTTTCAAATGGCCCTTACAGCTGAACCATTGCTATGTTACAGTAGCGAGGGTTCTGGGGATCCTTTAGCAGCAAATGCTGATTTAAAGGGCACGGGGTCTCTTCGGGTTGATTTGCTTGCTGGCTTGTTCTTCTTCTTGCAGAGCTGCACGAAAAGATTTCACTTTATCTTGGAAAAAGAAAAGAAAGGAATAAGTTTTGCATTACATGTGATGCAGTATACAACTTTATGCATCCTATCAAATCATCTCTTACAGTATCAACTCAGGGTTTTTTCTTTTGTTCTTTGTGGTCCAGAAACTTGGAACTAAACACAGTGCTCAGGTATAGCAACAAATTCATAGATTCTGAGAAATGCTTGCAGGTTTTATTTGTTATCTTCACAACAGATTTCTGTTCTATTTGGCATATTTTACAGTGTTCAATTTTAATTTCTTTGAATTCCTTTTTACAGTGTAAAGAGGCTATATATGTATGTAAAATAGTTATTTCTTCTCAGAGTATTAGAAAATGTCTACTTTCAATTCCTTTTTTGCCTTTTAAGCTATGAAATTTTAAGTTCACTTGAGTCTTTAAGACATGTCACTTTTTCCTTATTGGGGATTACAAAGGGTACAATGAAGAAGGGAGATTACAAAATATACATTTCTTGGTCTTACAATTCTGTCTTACTGTCTATCATGTACTGATTCAGATTCACATAGAGTAAGAAACAGGTAAGTAAAAATTGGAAGAGGCAAGTAACTGTCTGCTGTGTGAAGATGAGAAATTTTTCTCCAACAGTGGTTCTCAATTGGGGTGATTTCTGCCCCTCCCAGGGACATCTGGTAGCATCCTCAGACATTTTTGATGGTCAGACTGGGGTGGTGCTACCATCACCTACTCAGTGCAGACCCAGGACAGCTCTAAGCCCTGCAAAATGCACAGGAGATGGCACCTTCCAATAGTTTCCCAACTTAAAACGTGTTAATAGTGCAGATTATGGCTTTCAAAAAAAGGAGAAAGATACAATGTTGGAATCTTGATTTCTTTCCCCTCTTCCTAAGTACAGTGATGTTGAAAAAAGTTGATTTTTTTCTGAAATTTAGAAAGGAATATAAGGACTTCTGAATCTGATGCCTGCTAACATAATAGCTCTCAAATTTATATTAATATCAAAATTATATTTGGTAAATTTTTTTTCTAAGTAAGGACTGAATTATACAATATTTAGGTAGTAATTTCTTCAAAGTTTGGATATACTTAATATTTACACGAATCCTGAGAAAAGGATAGGAACTAAGTTGAAAGCTACATCTTGCAGTGAAAAAAAAAAAAAAGATGCATTGTGATCTGTCTCCTGAATAAAATGCATACGGAAAGCTGCCTATACATTATGGCAGATTAGAAAAATGATCAAAACACGTTAAATCAAGGCTTGAATATGAAGAACATGAAAAACAGCAAATTTTAGAAATCCTACATCTGCACAAACAATTCTAAATTGGCAAAATGGTCACTGCTGACTCTACAGGATATGATTTCAAATAACTAACTTTACGAAACTAGTTTAAAAAATTAAGCAGCTTGTTGAGTGCTAAAAAATCCAGCAACTTCAGTCTAGTTTCATGTTGCACTGCATGTACACACAAAGAAGCCTACTTGCATATAAATGAAGATAGCTAATTTGCCAAAGCCTAGGAAATCAGCACATATAACACGTGCTTATCTGAAGTCGCACAGATAAGCTTAGTAACTATAAAGTCAAGAAAGAAAACATGGCATGTGGGTAAGCCACATGCTTTCCTTCATGAACAAAGCAGAAAGAGTAGCTGTTTGGAACCTTCCCCTTCATTTTTTAAAACAAGAGTTCAAAGGAAAATCATGACAAGATATGCACAGAAAGGAGATGCAGGTAGGAGGTGATAGAAAGATGACCTGGAATAGATCTAAACCAAGGAAAATAATACTGAAAAGAATTGGCCTACCAAACCAAAGCTCTGCCTGGGTATATAAAACTTAAAAACTTGTTAAAATATATTTTCCCTCTTTAATCATAAGATGTCTTTATCTTCTCCAAAGACTAAAACAAAAAAGATGATAGACAGCACTTAAAATATTTCATGTTTCATTTTCAGGAAAAAATCCCGGAATGGTGGGCTGGTCTTTATAACTCTAGAAAGATCCTAAACATGCCCATAATTTTTACTTCAGATGTCTTCTTACAATATGAAATCTTCCCACTAATTACATACAAATATTAGGCAGATTTCAAACGATAAAATGAAAACAGAATTACCCCGCAGTTCAGTTAAAATGTCTATTTTTTGCTCAAGAATAGCTTCAAGTTGTGTGGCGTATGAATCCACATCATAGTCTACTTCTTCAGTCATCTCTAGGAGAGCCTTTTCATCTTCTAACCATCGGATAGATTCCTAAAACGACCCACCCCCGCAAAAAAGAAAATCCAGTAAGCCTCTTTATAAGACAGAAACCAATTTATAGATTTATCTTAAATATAATCAAACATACTCAAGACAGTATTCTCTGAAATATTTATAACCATAAAACATCTTTATTTACAGAATAAAATCAAGAAATATTTCTTTAAATTCAAATATAAACATCTTAGGCATAAAAAAAGTCCTATGTTTACTTTGAGTGGGGTTTGGGGAAGGGAATGAAGCAAACACATGAACAAGTGGGAATGAATCACACACATGCATGCCCATCCATGAGCAGAGTAACTCTCAAAGCCTCAGCTGTCCCTAAAACAATGGGTGTGATAAAACTTCTGAGCATCTCAGGAGGCCTATGGGAGACTATAACTGAAATTTACATCCATTTGGGCCTCACAGAGGTTGCGCAAAGAGGTAATCATAAATTTGAAACACTAGCTCTTCAAAATTATTGACTGTAAGGAAACACTGGATAGCTCCCATTTTTTTGGCTGCACTGTGTAGCCTGTAAAATATTAAGAGTTCCCTGACCAGGAACTGAACCTGGGCCCTCAGCAGCGCAAGTGCAGAGCCAACTGGACCACCACTGGACCACCAACGAATCCCCAAGAAAGCCCAATTTAGAAGAGTCAAATGAACCACTAAATAGTAACTAATTACTACTATTCTAAGTGCTTTAACGAAACCACCGTTAACTCAGTTTAGATATGTGGAACTGATGAATTTCATTTTCTCACAATGCCACGAACCATAGATTATTAACAAGGTCAGATCATTTTAAATTAAAGAGTTAGGGGATATAAATATGGACATTTTCTAGCTTTTTACAGTACACACAGTTTCACTTTTCCAAACATCAATGCAATTTAATGACTAGTTCAGTTCAGTCACTCAGTCGTGTCTGACTCTTTGCGACGCCATGAATTGCAGCAACGCCAGGCCTCCCTGTCCATCACCAACTTCCAAAATCTACCCAAAACCATGTCCTTCGAGTAGGTGATGCCATCCAGCCATCTCATCCTCTGTCGTCCCCTTCTGCCCCTAATCATTCCCAGCATTAGGGTCTTGAAAGCCTCACTTAACTGAGTTTTGTTGTTTAGTTACCAAGTCATGTCTGACTCTTCTGCAACCCCATGAACTGTAGCCTGCCAGCCTCCTCTGTCTATGGAATTTCTCAGGCAAGAATACTGGAGTGCATTACCATTTCCTTCCAGGTATCTTCCCGACCCAGGGATCAAACCAGCATCTCGTTTGGCAGGCGAGCTCTTTACCACTGAGCCACCAGGGGACCCTGTTTGAGTTTTACGGGTGTTCACATTATTCTAACAATTTTCTTAAAATTACAAGTGTCCTTTTTGATTTAATCTAAAAACTTAGGGCTCTTAAGAGAGCCTCATAATAAGGGTTTGACTTTAACAGTTTTAATCATTGTGCATCCAACTCTACAATTATAAATAGTTCTCGTATTTTTGAGCCCTTCATCCAAGGGTGTGAATTGCCTAGAGTTGAGGAATGTTAATATTTGTTTACAGATAAAGATTTCTTCAATATCAGAGAAGGATATACAGGTTAATAGGACAAAGGATTTATAGTACTGTGGGAAGGGAGTGGGGTTCAGGAGCAAGTCGACCGTGCAGTCTCCATAAAGATGTTCAAATAGGTATCACCCTCCAGAATATTTTCTTGTTTAATAAAGAGGGGAGGTTCATATAGTAAAAGGTTTTATAAATAGGTTGAACACACAATAGGATAAATACCTAAGGAGTTACAGCTTTATGAAGGGATATATTCCCCCTCATTCGTCTGTGACTGACAGCTCAGTCAGCGCAGTAACTCTCCTGAAAAAACCTTCCTTTTCTGCAAACACTAACTCTTCCTCAACTGCTCTGACACCCTTCAGTAAAGTTTTCCAACTGCCTACCATGAAGAAACAGGTAAAGGAGGGCAGAAGATCAACTCCTCTAAAAACAGACAACTAACAAAAGCAAATAAAGTGGGAGAATAGTAGAAATCAACCACATCTTTTTACCACAGTTGCAAAGAAAGTTTGTTTGTAGTCATCATTCATTCTATTCAAAATTTACTGTGTCATATGCCCTACAAACACACATATGCATAAATATAAACAAGCACTTTTTTAGATTAGTGTGACATTCAAAAGTCATTAATAGTTAATTTTTCTAGAAAAACATGTGATTAAGGATTCTGCCATACTTCACCTGGAATACTGCCCTGTGATCTTCTACAACTTGTTCTTCCATTTCTACCATTTGTGAGACAGCTTCATGGAAAGTAAACAATTGTGGGGATACCTCTTCTTCCTTAAAATAAAAACAGTTTAAAAACTATGACATAAGTTTATATTTTAAATTTTATAATAAAAAAGTGATTTTTCTATGTCATTTACAAAAATGCAACTGAGAAACTGAAGAAGCCTGAATGTTAAAGACAAAAAATAAAAAACGAAAGGCAAAACCAGAATTTCTTTTCATGGGTCAAAAATATTTAACATTCAGTAAGACAACTCAAACGTATCAGTAAGAGATAGTTTTCACTTAGCCCAAGTTTTACTACAGAATAACTCTAAAAAAGCAGTCTCTTTCAGGAGTGCAACTTTTCAAAAGTACATTTATCACAGGTTATAAATATACTGAAATATTTCTTCAGCATTGTTTACTTTCACTAACAATTCATATATATGTCTTAAATTTCTTTTCAGTACAAGAAGCAAAATGTTGAGTTTTACGTTCATTCAGTGTTCGTTTAAAATAACATTTCAGTGTAACAGAGACGTAAATATTACATCCTTCATGACTGTGACTATCAAACTGGTATTCTGAAGGTCTTAACTCTTACTAAATTTAAACCCTGAATTGCACTACATAATTTACTTAGTTTTTTTTTACAGAAGTTTTAATGGATAATTCACGACTCTACTTCATCCACAAATGCCTACAAATGTACATATCATATATTTTGGTCCTGTACCAAGTCAAACTTCTCCAGCTTTGTTTTCTTTTTTGAGCTTCCTTTCCAACTCTAGTATCTAATGATTTATTTCCTCAAAACTCAGCCACAGTGATAGAGAAGTTCACTTAAAATTGCTTTATAAAATGTCAGTGCGAAAGCAACATTTTTCAAACAAAATACACAATTCTAAATATATGGGTGTATCTTGGTTAAATTAAATATTGTAAGTAGACATTTGACTCTTTCATCAATACGCTACCATCCCTGTAAGTTTATATAATCACGTTAGCTAAAGAATTTTTTATTTTCTCTTTGCGAAAAGAGCCATCTATCTGTTTTTAATCAAGATATGCAGGCATGATTCTCTCATATTCTGTCTTTCTGGTAAATCCACGATCAAAAACCTTTACTTATTTTATCTGCCCACCTCCCTGCCAAGCCCAGAACATCCTGTCTTTCCTTTGCTTCAAGATACTATGCAAATTCCTATCACTTCCATGCAATCCACGCAGAGTACTTTTTTATCTGTACAACTACTTTCAGAATTCTAATGCACTTGATTATCCTCCAGTCTGTCTACTGTATTACTTTTATCTCCAGAGTATGTCCTAGACACGATTCCATTTTACCTACCTTGTTAAAATTTAATATAGCAGTAAGAATATGTAACACATGCATCAATACTTAACTGAAGGCTAATGCTGAACTATCTCAAGATAGTTCCTTGGGGAAAGCAAAGTTGAAAGAAATTCACACTCTCTCATACGTGGAGAAGGTTGCAAGAACCCATAATGTCATGCTTAAAAAGTGTCTAGATTAGTTCTAGTGACCTAGCCAAGCTCTCCAAATTAAGGTCCCACAGAGACCCAACAGATACAAGAATAAAATGAGAGAGAGATGCTGTAGGGAGTGCCTATCTCATTTTGGTTTTTTGTATCTTTGGAGGCACCATATGTAGGAGCAAGGCAGGGTTTGCTTTAAGGATTTCAAAAGCAACTACATTTTCTTTCAAAGCTTTTGGGGACAGAGGATAGACTAACACCAGGATTTCATTGTTATTTATTTATTATCTATGGTTCAAAGTTGAGAACTCTTATTTAAACCAGGTTTCTTGCCTTCAGCATCACAGACATTTTGTGGGGGTTTGTGGGGGGGAGAATGTCCCTGTGCATTGTATGATATCATCATTGGATGATATCATCATCCCCCGCCTGAACCCACAAGATCTGAGCAACACCGTCCCACTTGGGATGACCAAAGATGTCTCCATACATTTTTCCCTGGAGAGGGGCCAAGTCATTCCTGGTTGAGAACTGCTGCATTAAGTCCCGCTTTATTAATAGAAGTATTTTGGAACATGATAACAAAATCAGTATGTCCATTCTTTAGAATATTTGGACTTTAAAATATCTGCTGAAAAGTATTAACACATTAAACTTATACTGTTTTCAAAGAATATCTTATTGCAGCAGGCAATAAATTTAGCTGACATGAGATTCACTCTGGAATAAGAAAGATCCAGACTTCAATCCTGACTGGCTTCAGCACTTATTACTTAATCTTTTAGAAAATGTGAGGATTATGTCAGTTAATAAAATGCTTAGCAAATATGTGTCATGATATAATAAGCAACTAATAAATGCTATCTTTTATCATTATAAGAAAATGCCACTATAGGATTATCAGTGGGAAAAGTGATACAAAACTATACAGATAATACATTTAAAAAATGAAGTTAAATAACTATGTGAAAATATCTGTGCTTTTTTGTGATTTTTTAATACATCTTTGTCCTTATGCTTTATTATTTTTAAGCAACAGGGGAATCAAAATTTTAAATAATGAAATGTCACCAAACATTCAAAAATACAGAAAGCAGTTAGGTATAACAAATGTCAGATTTTTTTCATTTTTGATATAGTTCATGAGTCCTTTTAGTATATATCCATGTGTCTAAAGTTAATCTTGTTTCTAAGCTTTATGTATAGGGTATATTGCATGTACAATTCTCAAACTTGTCTGTTTCCTGTATTACTTTAAAAATTCCCTGATGGCTCACTGGTAATGAATCCGCCTGCCAATGCAGGAGCCACGGGTTCAATCCCTGAGGCAGGAAGATCCCACATCCCACAGAGCAAACAAAGCCAGTGAGCCACAACTATCAAGTCTGTGCTCTAGAGCCCAGAAGCCAGAACTTCTGAGCCCACATGCCCTAAAGCCTGTACACTGCAATGAGAAGCCTGTGCAACTCAACTAGTGAGTAGCTCCCGCTCACCGAAACCAGAGAAAAGCCCGTACAGTAACAAAGACCCAGCATAGCTAAAAGTAAGTCCCCAAATTTTAATCAGTATAAAATCTGGAAAAAAGAATAGTTAGATCAGGGGTCAGTGAACTTTAGTACATATTTTGGGCTTGTGAGCCATATAGTCAGTGTCGCCTCTGTTCTTAGTGAGCGTGGTCATACTTCAACAAACTTGATTTGTAAAAATAGATGGCAGGCCCACAGGCTTTAGTTTCTTGATTCCTGATTTAGAGGACAGTTTTCATTTATTCTGGTATGTATGACACAACTAAGATTAGATAATTACAACGATATTACGTCACTTACATTCTGTTCACAAAGAAGTTTTAGATCATCCCTCTGAGGGGAACTGCCCACACCCCACTGTGCCTCTAAGTCATCAATCTGATTTGGGGGATGGTGCATTATTGGACGGACGTCACCAGCAGCAGTTGGATCCACAGTCAGTTCTTTAACCCTATAAACACATAAGAGGTATCTTTAATTAACAAAGACTCATGAGGGACAAGAAATATTAACCTATTTAATGTAAAAGCAATTCAATTAACATTAATATTGATGATGTCAGCTTTCCAGATCAAATCTAACTGAAATCTGTGGAAATATTATTAAAGGTATGCCGAGATATTAAACTTCAGGAACTTACTTAGATACAGCTTTATAATTACTTCAGATATAATTACTGTGAATAACAAATTGAGAATCAAAGTATGCTGATTCAGAATTTCAAAATAAATGAGACATTTGTTACAGTTAAAAATGTTAACAGTACTTAGATTAATAAATGCATCATTGTCAAAAAATCAGTTTGGTTTTTTTTTTTGGCTGCACTGCATGGCAGGTGAGATCTCAGCTCTCCAACCAGAGATTGAAACCATGCTCTCTGGAGTGGAAGCACAGTCTTAACTCCTGGACCACCAGGGAAGTCCTCCAAAAATCAAAGAATTTAATATACTTTGCAGATTTTTGGTAGTTATAAGGCTCAATTAAAATACCTACACATGAAATATTTCTAATCCATAAAGATCAGAAGCTGAAAAGTTTTATCATTAAAAAAAGTTTATCCCCTTATACTTAAATTTACACATTTGGAAGAGGGTACACTTTGCCACTGGGCCACTAAGGAAGCCCCCAAACGTCCATTTTTTAAGTCAAGAGGATCCCTGTGATTTCCTTGCAGAAAGAATGTAAACTTTTCCTTTTAAATAAGACAGTCTATCCTTCAATAAGAAATATGCAAAGATGACATCATCCTTAAAAATATGAGAGGGGAAAAGGAAGCCTGAATTCTAACTCAACATTTTAAAGCAAATAAATGAATAAAGTATGTAAAAATTAAGATCATGCAGTGTAACCACCACCTGTCAAACAAAATGAAAATAAAAAATAAAATGGCTCGGGACAAAAGAAGTATATGCCATGAAAGTAAATGCTATGAAACATTTATATATAGCACAATCCAAAAGAAACTACTGAAATAAACACTGTATGTATAGAGTAAAGTAGACCTGGCAATCGAAGGAGAAAAGTCGTCATACTCATAAGAAGGAGAGAGGTCAGGGCGGCTGCCGCTGCCCTGTGAGAAGGGAATGTCTGACGGACTAATTCCAAACTCCTTTACTCTGCAGCACCGAAACAGCAACAGATTAAAAGAAAATGCTCTTGTAAAGACAGGAATGCATATTTCAAGTTTTCATTTATTACCAATTTGCTAGAAAAGGATCTTAAAAATAATTAAAGTTAACAGGTTTTTGAACCCCTCTGTTCTATTGAGTCCCTACTCCATAATTCTTCCTTTTCCTATGATCTTTTATAGAAGTGTAACTAGACCATCAACTAAATTTGAAATGCCCTGTATTAAGCTACATGACCACTCGTGTCTAATTTTCTTCTGTAGTAAATACCATGAGTATTTTATTAGCATTAATGAATCCTCAACAGTCTTGCAGTCTTTTCAAACAGGACGGAAGAGAATTAAAGTCCTAATGGCATACAATCTTAATGAATTAACTTCCTTCCTATGCACCTAGAATGTATCTGTTATGAAGCAACTTTGGAACAAACTGAAAAAACAGTCACTCAAATAATTTTCTGTGTTTGGTGATTCAGATGATGAATCATGGCAAAGAAAATCCTTTAGCAATGGAATTTTAATTGTTTTTGCGAATGTCTCTAACAGGTGTATTAACCAAAGCATGGGTTTTCTGAACCAACTTTTTTGAATTCCTATATCCTCTATGGGCCAATCTCACTTCATAATCGTAGGCAATATTTATTAATTACTTTCTATCAGCAGATAGCATGATTAGTATTTCTTAGATATTATTTAACCATTACAACAAAGTTGTGATATTGCCACCATTTTACTGATAAGAAATTGGTTCAGAGCAATAAAGTACCTTACCCAGATTCATTCAGTGAGAATGTAGCATAACTGAGGTTCAAACCTGGCTGAGTACAAACTTTATGTTTGAACATTTCAATATATACCAACATATTCTCTGTTTTTCCTCATTACTTCTCAAGTTTAACTAAATGAAATTACTGTTTATACACATCAAAAATAGTCACATAGATAAAACTAGTAATGTCTTGTACTTAGAATCTTTCTTTGACCTTTGGGTAATGCCTGCTATCAAAGGTTCAATATCACATGCATTTGCCCTTTTTCCTTTATAGTTACTTTGGAAAGCTTATTTACATACATGCTGACAAACCCAAATTTCTAATACTGACTTAATCACTTTTTTACTCCCAACCCCATTACTTATCTTATTCTTTCAGAATATCTTCATTTAGGTACGCTTTTAGCCCCTAACCACACATTTTCCCTCTATTCAAAGCTTTCTTGTCCAACCTGAACTATACTATATGCAGGAATTATACTTCTCAAATGAGCTATCAAAGGAGATTGAAAATCTTTATTCCAAAAGATATGGAAATAAAAGACAGAGTTGTTTGTCCCAGATGGTTAGTAATGTTGCAATGAATCACATTACATGATAATAAATTAAAATATTTTACTTGGGTCTAAAATGAACTAGAGGAATGACCAAATACAGAAGTCTGAAGATATGAGGGTTTTAATTCTACAACAGGACTATAACATTAAGCTGTTTCTCATCTCTCCCATGAACAATTCTGAAATAAGAAACATTTTAAATTAGTGATAAAAACCCTACAATACCAAAAATGTTCACTACAAAGAATTATTAAAGGTTCACAGCTAGGATTTTATAATTCAAAGTTTAAAAGGGATTAAGTTTAAAAATAAAATTCTATTATATTTTTAAAGAAATTATTTTTCATCTTTTGGCAAAAGGTAAGTTTATACTTTCCAACAGTTTCTACTGATGATTTTTTAAAATCTCTTGAAGTGAAAGCAAAATACAAAAGAACAAAGGGTGTTCTCATTTATGTGAAGTTCAAATACAGCTACCTATATTGTTCAAAGACACATTCATAGGTAGTAAAACTATTTTTAAAAAGGGAGAAAGAAAGAAAACTGAGTAATTTATTCTAAAATCAGGATAATGGATTGGGATTAATGGATTTAAGCATGTTATTCAGGATTTGTGATCAGAAAGGGACACATGGGGAATTTTCTGGGGGGACTGAAAATGTTCTATTTCATTCTAATCACCAGAATTTACACTTTTTAAGTATTCATTACATTACATTATGTAATCTATGAAGTATTCATTACATTACATTATGTAATCTATGAAGTATTCGTTTATTACATTATGTTTGGGTACTTTCCTATATGCATATATATGTAACGCCTTAATGAAAGATTAAAAAAAAACCTCAGTAGTGACTAAAACAAAAAAATACTACAAATACTTATGTTTAGCAAAATCAAAAGACTCGCCACACTAGAAATGTAATACAAAGAGGCATTTTATCTTTAGGTTAAAATCACAAATGCAGTATGTGATAACAGAAATTTAAAACTATATAAATAGTCATTTAAAACAAGAGCAATGGGAACAAACTGCTTTAATGGTGTATAACGCTTTCTGTCCTCTCATTTGTAATAATCCAATTGTCTATGAAAGTTTGTAACAGTATTTTCATAGATAATAAAATGTAACCGATATAGATGGAGAAGGAAATGGCAACCCACTCCAGTGTTCTTGCCTGGAGAATCCCAGGGACGGGGAAGCCTGGTGAAGCCCTGTCTATGGGGTCACACAGAGTCGGACATGACTGAAGCGACTTAGCAGCAGCAGCAACCCATATAGAACACCACAAAGAACGGTGCCATCACTACTAAATCCCTAGATTCCCCATGTATAACATTTAACATTATCAGAAATTATTTTTTAGCATATAGCAAAATAACTTAAGAAATACAAACTGGTGCCTGATACTTTTGAGTCGTAACATAATGAGAACTAATACTACGAAATATAACTTGGTTAAATGGAAAAATGTATCATGTTCTTGAGTAAGACCAATTCTACTAAAAATATAACTGTCTTCTCAAGTTACTCAACACATTTCTAATTATTTTTATTTTTAGGATGTGATAAAATGATTTTAAATATCATTTCAACAAATATGCAAACAATTTTTTGAAAATGGAAAGAATAATGTAATAAGATATACCCTGTAAGATATTAAATCAAATAATATACAGTTCTATTCCTTTCAAATTTCAAAATAACCATATCTCATACCTATTTGCATATCTTAATGTATTGAGGGTATTTTCACAGGATGCCATTCCTGGAGATATTGTAGCAATCTATGGGGGAAAAGTGCAAAGATAAAGAAAATGTTATAGATGACAGTAATATTGACACATGGCTCCTTAAAGGTCTAATCTTAATATGGTCATCCAAAGAAAAGAAACTCCAAGATAATTCAGTATCTCACACCCATAATCATACAGTAATTATAAACTCCAGTTAAAATATAAACAGCTCTAACAGCACCACAAAATGATCAAACATCAGGCAGAAAATGGAGGTCAACACCTCAAAGAAGGGAGTAACACTGAGTGACTGATTGCCCCTCTTTTCGATAATTTTTTTTTTGCTTAAGGGCAAACTGTGCTGCTGTCACATAGGACAACTGAAACTTCAATAAAAACCTGGAGTGTCACTAGTTAAGGACAGTTTGGACGTGTGCACCATAGCAGCTGGGAAGTGAAGTTTGTCCCAGAAGAGAAGTAACCAGAGAGGGAGAAACTGTGTGTGTGTGTGTGTGTGTATTCATATATATATACACACATGAGTGAAGTTTGTGGGAGAAACTCGTGTGTGTGTGTGTGTGTATGTTCATATAAATATACACACATGAGTGAAGTTTGTCGAGAAACTGTGTGTGTGTGTGTGTGTATTCATATATATATACATACACACATGAGTGAAGTCTGTCCCAATAACCACAAGGGGAGAAACTCATGTGTGTGTGTGTATTCATATATAAATACACACGAGTACTCTACCCAAATATACGCATTACCCAAATCTCTGAGAGGGAGAAACATGTGTGTGTGTGTGTGTGTGTGTGTGTGTGTGTGTGTGTGTGTATCCATTATATATATACACACATGAGTACTCTACCCAAATACACACATTACCTGAATCTCTGTCTGACCCCCAAACTGGAGTACACAGGCTGACTATAAGAAACATTGCTAAGTCTAAAAGAGCTAAACAGAGATTTCAAGGTCAGTTGCTGCCCACAGCAGGGGAGACAAGAGTTTGGAGTTCAGCTAAGTTAACTTTCTGCTAAAAAAACAATAACAACAACAAACCAATAATCTTCAGAAGAACATAACAGAATCCAGAGTGTCTATAAGATATTCATTCATAATGAAAATTATATAATCCAAAATTCTAGACATATGAAGAAAGACAGAAGTGTGACTAATATGTAAGAAAAACAGAAAGCAATGGAAACCAATCTCAAGAGGACTCAGATGTTGTAATTAGTAGAATGCATGAAGGTACTATAACAGCAATAAAATCCTATCAGACTGGCAGGGACCACATTTTTAAGTTTCACTGTATCACAGTAGGAGACTTTAAATGCCACTAATGTATTTCATAAATTTCCCATAGATGTTATATAATTATTCATTTATGATTAAGACAAAACAAACATAAACTTACCATGCAGGTACGAGAGTTTTCACCTATGAATGAATCTCTTAACACCTGAGTGAGTTTACTTGCTCGGAAAGGAGTATGAGGTTTATTTCTACCTAAGGCTCTGATGCACTCCTGAAAATTAAGAAAGCAAATTTCACAGATTATGCTTCTTATAAAGATTAACCTTATCGAACGTACTTAAAAGATCTCTTACAATAACCCTAACATTTAAGATCTGATCAGCTCTGAAAATTCTATCAAGAGGTCTACAGCATAGTAAAAATGTTCTCATAAATCGTTACTCAAGAAAATGAAATTTGGGAAATAAAAATACCAGAAACAAACCCCAAAAAACAATCTAACCAAAAGACTACTTTGTTAATTCCAAGAGATTCTGCCAGAGACTATGACTGGTGTTTAGGAGTGACAGGCAGTAGGATAACTGTTGTTCAGTTGCTAAGTCATGTCTGACTTGTTGTGATCCCATGGGCTACAGCACACCAGAATTCCCTATCCTTCACTATCTCCCAGAGGTTGCTCAGCTTCATGTACACTGAGTCGCTGATGCTATCCAACCATCTCATCCTCTGCTACCCTATTCTCCTTTTGCCTTCAATCTTTCCCAGCATCAGCCTTTTCCAATGAGCCAGCTCTTTGCATCAGGTAGCCAAAGTATTGGAGCTTCAGCTTCAGGATCAGTCCTTCCAATGAATATTCGGGGTTGATTTCCTTTAGTATTGACTGGTCTGATCTCCTTGCTGTCCACAGGATTCTCAACAGTCTTCTCTAGCACCACAGTTCAAAAGCATCAATTCTTCAGTGCTCAGCCTTCTATATGGTTCAACTCTCACATCCATACATGACTACTGGTTTGACTATAGTCAAACCATAGCTTTGACTTTACGGACCTTTGTCAGTGAAATGATGTCTCTGCTTTTTAATATGCTATCTAGATTTGTCATAGCTTTGTTAAACTTTTTCCATAAAAGAAAAAACAGAATGCTTTCTTTTCTCTGTAAGCCAAGGGAGATATATAACATTGGCCTAACTTTCTGAAAGCCATTCCACATTTTTCAGAGAAACTTTCTTAACTCAGTTTTATGGTTCCTTGCTCTCCTTCATGAAAAAAGACCGATTAATGATTAAGGCTCCCTGGAATCTCCCTAAATAGCCTGTCAACTATTTGGAAGTGGCCTGCCAACTAACAGATCTTTTAACTACCCTAAAAAGAATAAATAATATGTATGAAGAAAATTTCTGGGAACAATAAAAATCTATAACTGCAAACTTTAATAGACAACTAAATTTTGATAATCTCTCTTACTTATTAGAAAAAACAAACACTATCATTTTGTAACTGAGTAAACTGAGTAAAAAAGTTAAAGTCCAAAGTAAGAGACTTGTCACAATTAAAAGGACTTTATTTACCTTGAGTGCTAAAAGGCTTTTATTAATTTCAGCACCTTCAAGCCTAGTTTGCCTGTCTGCACTGGAAGTATCAGCTCCTCTTTCATTTCCAGCCAAATCGATGAGAGAAAATTTGCCATGTAGTTTTCCTTTCCTTCTAAGGATAATCTGAAACACTGCATGGCTCCGAGATGAATGTGCATTTGCAGATGTTTGACCGGATGTTCTACAATGTAATTAAGAACATTTTGATATGTAAAAGTTCAATTTGTGCAAGCCACAATATTTTCATTAAAAATAGAAACAAAAAACTATCCCATTTTTATTAAATACAAAAGAGCTATTGTGAATTAACACAAACATAATGAGATTAATGCAATTTAACCTGGCACACTTCAAAAAGTCTTGATGAACAATGATTTTTACTTTCAAGATACACTGAATAACAATCTTGCTTTGCTCTCAAGTTATAATCAAAGTATCTAAAATTGATCATCAGATTGTTTCTCTTTATTAAAATGAGTTACCTGCAACTGTTGCCTATGTCAATGAGTTTTAGTACATCTTCAACACATTTGACCTCCCGTTCCTGTAATCCCACCACTTGAACCTGCTGTTTTCCATCTTCAAGCACTCTTAATTTTGTTTTTCTATTTAGCAAGTCAAACACCTAAGAAAAAAAAAAAGCGTTTGAAAATAAGAACAGTTCTATAAAAATGAGGCATTCAGATTCTAAAAAATTATTTCAGAGAATCCTAATAATTGTTATAGAATAATAATGATTGATATTGAAGTTAAAGAATTTCAAAGGGAATTTTAAAAAAATCTCATACACAAAACTTTAAAGTAATATTCTAAATACATATAGCAATTATGTGGTGGCACCAACTGTCCAACAATGTGAATGTACTCAATTCTGGTGAACTTCTACACTAAAAAAGTTAAAATGGTAAATCTTATGTTATGTATTTTTAAACCACAATTTAAAAAGCTTACAAAAATTAGTTTAAATTTCAACTTACCTTACCACTATAAATTTCAAAAAAGGTTGCATACACTTGAAGTTCCAACTTCTTATAGTTTGGCTTCTTTAGCATTAAAAATACATCCCGAGCTGCCAATAATTTCATATGGAGAAAATTTGTTAAGATGCAAAAAAATTGTTTTTAAAAAGAAATTAAAATTTTCTATTTTCAGAGGAATCAGTTTTGCTTACCTAGAATGATAGTATCAGTAATAAAAATGAAGACTAAAGTGGATACTAACTTTACCAAAAATAGCCACAGTTTGTCTACACTCTCAGTTAGAAGTCACTCTCCTTCATATTCAAGAAAAGAATGCTACTACTTATCTTTATAAACAGCATAAAATTATAGGTGGTCATCATAAGGGTACTTTCATAAATATAACAAATGGGAACTTTTCACAAAGCAGCTATTCAACAATACTAAGCTCCAACAATGTGTCAGATTACAACACACACACAATCAAGATTTCTGACCCCAAAGCAAAGCTCTTTCCAAAGCAGTCCGATAACCTAAAACTGACAAAATACGTAGTAAGTGCAGCATTAATTACCCTTAAAATTCTGGACAGTACTTCCAAATCTTTTTCCAAACCACCTGAATAATATTCAAGAAGAATGTTATAAATGATACCCAAAAAGGAGTTACCTGCTAATGCATAAATTCCTTTAGAACAATCTTGGTTCTTTCCTGAAAAGTCACCTCCCATTGTCTATATGTTAAAAAGAAAGAAGAATTTAGGTCTTACAATTAAGGTATAAGAAAAATAAACCAGCTTCCTATCAGGATGTAACTAACGAATTACTTACATGAGTCTTTCCACTTCCAGTCTGCCCATAAGCAAAGCATGTAGCCATTCCCCTCTCAAATATAGTTTCCACTAGTGGTCTAGCTGTAAACCTTAAAAATAAAATGCACCAGTCAGAATGTACAGTTAATATTTTAATTAAGTAAGTAATAAAACTAGTATCTAGTGTTATTAACAAACAAATCTTACACCAAATTTTTTAACAAACCAGTAGGTTCAACTCTAAGACCACAATTGAACTCACTGATTTAAAATTTTAAATGTCCATGTCCTAGAATTGCTTAAAGCTCTTTAACGCATATCTTCAAGCAATAATTCCATAATAAAAATGGCCACAATAATTAATAACTGCCAGGGGAAAAAAGAGAGTAGCTGAGCTAAAGACATATATATTAATAGAAGATAATAGAAAAGTTTTAAAAAATAACAACAAAATATGGTAATATCAGCCAGACAAGTGGGACATACATGAAAACCAAAAACAAAAAACCCCAACCCAAACTCAAAAATGTATCAAAGGTTTCAACAGAAACAGAATCAAGACTGGTAATCTCAAAAAAGAAAAGCTAGAGGGAGAAAAAAGTACAAAAACATTATCTTAACAAGTATAAAAGTGGTAAAAATTTTCCTGAATGTGAATAAGCAAATATGAACGATGCTTGTAAGACAATGAATTCTGAACTGATAGTCTTGATTCAGGAAAAGGATGCCCAAATATTATAAATAAGTAAATATAAATGATCTTTATATAAGACAATGAATTCTGAATTGACAGTCTTGATTCAGGAAAAGGATGCCCAGTATTATGTATTGGTATAATCACTGCTGGAGTCAAGATTAAAAAGGTAAGGAAGGACAAAAAAATATTTCATTGAGCAGTGCTCTAAAATGCATGATACAAAACAAATGGGTTTTTTACACAGGCTTCAAAAGAACATGTGAACACTTTATATAGCTCTATTGATTTTTTCAAAGGCACAACTGGAGAAAGTATAGAACAAAAGAAGGAGAAAAAAGTTCTAATCAAACAGAATTAGAAATGAGTCTGAAGAGTGATAGGACAAAAAAAAAGCCTAATTCCTCAATCCACAGAAGTTAAGGATAAGAGGGGACAGAATTAATATTGGTAAAATTAAGAAGCATAAATACAGGGTGAAACAAAAATGTTTACTAAATCTAGCACATACACAGAAACACACCTTTATAATGATCTCTTGAAAATGATTATAAAAGTCAGACAGATATATTTATGAGACAGTAGTGGAAGGAGACAAGGGAGTGAGTGAGTAGGAGAGGACTCAGCTCTCAGAAAGGTAAAAAACATACAATTTACAATTCCTTTTTAAAACAAATTCTTCACAATACCTCTATCTAGCATTCACGTATTCTTTAATTTTGTCCTCTTTCTTTAGAGCTGAACTCTCAGTTTACTGGCTTAAGACCAGAGGAGTTGATCTTAACAGGATCTCATTTACCATAACTTGTTAGCATTCTAATTAATTTTGTTTTCCAGTCAAATTTATAAGATAAAAGGGCAATGAAGCATAGCATTCAAGTGACTGCCAAGACCATTTAATATAGACTGAAATAAGAATGCTGCTAAAATTGACCTGTTAAATAATGAGAAGTAAATGTTTATAAACTATGTATGAAAATCTAAATTTGGATAGAAATGTGGGACATCAATGCATAATACACAAGTTTGAATTATTTGTAGGTTAAATATGCGAACACATAAGAATTTCATGCTAAAACTATTTCAAAGCTTAAATATGATAAACTAGGCAAATGCACATAGATTTCAGAACTTTTTTTCCTTAAGTGGTCAATAAAGATTTAGACAAATAAGTGTCTGATGTATAACAATTATTTTAAATTTCTTTGAAATACTGCAGACATTAAAAAGGAAAAATAACCACATCCCATCTCTAGAGGTACACAAAATGTTGTCTAGAAACTTCTTATCCATACACATGGTGTGTTACATAGTGTTTAAGTTAACTGGTAATGAAAACTGATTTGGGGAGCATTAAAGAAAACAAGTATTACTATTTATTATTGTGTTTATTAAATATTCTTATTCATTTAAACTAAGGGGGTCAAAAAAGAATATTGCACCTCTGGAGAGATATGCCAAGGTCAATATAAGTTTCAGGGTGATGGTGAACACCCTGAACATAGAACAAGAACAAATTATGATTTACAACAAATTTACCTACCTGTAAACCATTTCATTAGGAGCTGAGTCATCAAAGGCATAATCAAAACGAAATGTTTGGTTTTCTAGGTACCTTGTTAAATCTACTTTTTGTTTTGGTTCATGTACCATCACAACATCTTTACTAGGGATTGTGATTACATCAAGATCTTTCATTTGAGTTTCTAAAAGAATACATAAAAAAGTCAATGGCCAGTAATTTTCACATCATTTGAGTTAATGAACAAAAATTATTTTAAGTAGTAAGAATTTAGATAAAAGTAGTAACCCTGTAAATATAAATATCCCATAAACATGCCATTCAAATAGAATATTTCAACAACAAAGTTAAAAAAATCAAGATTTCCGTAAAGCCAGGAAAGGCAGTCTTACAGCAATAACACAACAGCCCTAACCACAGAAATCTGCCTAATGCTTATATACAAATGAAATGATTTACACTTAACTCTTCCAAATCAATTTGATTTCTGGTATTATCGAAATAAACTGCAAACAGGACAAAATCGACCTTTGATTAGAGCTCAACAAACATACCTTTTTTATTGAGTGGTCGTTTTCTTACACAAACACATATCCTGTGTTCATCAATCTAGAAATAAAATAATTTTTCCAGTTATTATCAGTGAATTATAAAACACTGAAAAATTAATTATGTGATATTTCTAAGGTTTTAAAAATTTATGCACAGCAAAAATAGGATACGTAATACACAAATTTTAAGAATCATCAGACACAATTATTTAAAAAATTCAAAGTATAATGGAAACTTGCTGAATTGTGTCATTTGGTAAACCTCTAGGAAATAACTTTGCAGATGACACTACTATTCTTGATAGCAACAGGTTCACATTAAGAAGCCATCTTATTCAAGTCAAGATGGGCTGTATACGACAAAAGTCAAATTTCCTATCAGACTGAACTGGAGGGAAAGCTGTTGGCAAAGATAACTAGCTGTAGACAAGAAACAGGATTATCAGGCAAAATAATCTGAACAATTTCATAACGTGCCAATTAATTAGACATAAATATTTTTTCATAAAACTTATGTTCCCAATGTTTGTCTTATAATGATATTTAATATAAAGTAGAAATTTGCAAAGTATGGCCTAAAAACCCAACCCAAGTCACTACTGAAGTTTTTCTGAAACAGCCATACCCATTCACTTATGTATTGTCTCTGGCTGCTTTTCATACAAAGTCAGAATTGAGAAGTTGTAACACAGAAAATATGGTTCACAAAGCCAAAAATATCAGGCCTTTCTCAGAAAAAGTTCTGCAAACACTGCTGTAAAGTCTGAGCTCAGATGTAAGTGAAACAAATGGAGGGGCAACAAGAACTAAAATACATGAGATCAGATGTCATGAACTACTGTTAAATCATATATAATACATCTGCCTAAAATAAACATATTTTGTGTACCCAATACATTCCATGTATGCTAGGTCAGATGTATTATTTTTCACAAATACAAATTACAAAAGTATTCCCTGTCTAGTAAATTCTCATTCTTTTTTTTTTTTTTGATGTGGACCACTTTTAAAGTCTTTATTGAATTTGTTACAATACTGTTTCCGTTTCATGTTTTGGTTTTTGGTTGCCAGGCATGTGGGTTCTTAGCTCCCCACCCAGGGATTGAACCTGCGCCCCCTGCACTGGGGAGCAAAGTCTTAACCACTCGACAGCCAGGGATGTCCCTAAATTCTCATTCTTTAATAGGAAAGGAATGCATAATAAGACATTTTTTAAGCACTAGAGTTTTGTTTTACAGCAGTCCTCAACAATCATTACTTACTGTTAAAAGCCAAAATAGACATTTATTAAAAAAAATTAATTAGCAGTAAGCTGGAATGATGGTGGGATCCACAGCCCAAGTCAAGAGGAAATAAACTTGGAATTGAGATGAAGGTATAAGTGATGGTTGCTTAGCAAAGTCCTTGGTAGGGCAGAGCAACAGTCAAGGATGATGTCAGAAGACCCAATCTGCCTTCTGACCATCATTTATGTCAATTCCAAGTTATTTCCTCTTGTCTTGGGCTGTCAATCCGACCATCATTCCCACTGACTACTAATTAACTTTTTATTTAAATGTGAGCAAACTTTGGGATATAGTGGAGGACAGGAATGCCAGGTGTGCTGCAGTCCACGGGGTCGCAAAGAGTTGGACACGACTGAGTGACTGAATGACCACCACCAAGGGCTTGAAGGCTTTACTGTGAAACAGGTATTTCTGTGAGAAGCATGTCTCATATATCAATTATGGGAATTAAGAGTAAATGTGGGTAGTTTCTTTCTCTTTTTTTGGCTGCACTGAGTGGCTTGTGGGATCTTAGTTTCCTGATCAAAGACTGAACCTAGGCCCTCAGTTTGGAGTCCTAACCATTACATCACCAGGGAATTCTCAATGGTTTCTTGATTTTCTTCTTAAAATATGGAGAAGGAACACCCATAAAAAGAGAAAAAAGTTACAGAGCTAAATACAATATTAATTTAGGGGGTATCAAACATATTTTTATTTACAGCATAAAAAGTTCCAGGGCAATCATTTACAAAGAATCTTACAGGATCTGCTGTTGTTAATGGTCTATAATCCAAACTTCCTCTAAAGTCTCTGATCATACACATAATTTCATAATTTGGGTTTGTAGCATCAACATCCTGTAAGAAGACAGAGAATTCATCATTTATTATAATTACAACAAAGTAGCATTTGTTGCATTTATACATGGTTTGAAAATTAAAGTAATAAATTATGTCACTAGTAATAGCCAAGCCCAAATTCAAAGCAGAGATGTGATATAGTTTCAGAGTTCAAGATCAGTAATTGCCCAGAAATCACTTTTATTTTAAAAACACAATTCTGTTAGTCTACGTGCAATCTGTTAACTCCAAGCCATATACTGCTTATTAAACCCACCCTTGTATTATTTCAAATGTTATACACATACCTTAATTGTCCTAGAAAATTGAGCAAGAGAAAGTACTCACCCTAAACATCAAAAAAAGAACTCTAGAAAAGCTGAAATTCTTAGAAAAATGTATTTAATCAGATTCTTATTTCCAATTCCTAATGCAATGTTTCAGGAAAACAGAACTATGGATTCACTTATGTTCATTTCCTATTTTTACTGAGTCTCTAAAAAAAAAAAACTAAGGCGTGGTATAAAACAGTTCCAACTCAACAGGATATAGGATTAAAAGGAACTGGAAGCCAAGACAATTTTGAAAATCTTTAAAATTCAAATTATTGAATGCTAACAGCAATTTACTTTTTCACTTCAAAATTGAGAAAATTCAGATTAAGATACAAATAGCAAGAGCTAACAGCCTCTCCTAGCCAGGCCATGAGTATAAATTATTAAATATTTCAAGTCAGTTTTTTTCTCCATGTATTTTATTGCAGATTTGCTTCGAGTACAACTCAATTTCAAAACTGTTAATGTCACTACTCTCAATTAACCTTATTGGGAAATAATACTAACTATATCAATTGAGAAGTAGAATGTAAATAGTTCAGATAAAAATATTATGAAGTACCCACAGGAGACACCAGGTGGCATCTGTGCTAAGTATCAGTAGACAACAACATCGTTTATTTCAAAACCCAACTAGTCATTCTCAGGTCACTTTCAGATATAAGCTGCTTTACTGAGGTTGAATATTATATTGATTCCACAACACAACATATTTATGATTAAGGGCATTTGAACATACTCCTAAATAAGGAAACAATCCTGGTATTTCATTACAGGAAACGAGTTCTGAGAATATAATAGTTACAATATAAGCACAATGGAGGAATTATTTGAACAGTAAAAAATGTGAAGACTTGTAGAGAGATAAAAGACCAGTCTTCTATGCAATTTTCCATTGCTGGTAAAATTTTGCTAACCATCTAAAGGAAATGTGAGAAGAGGGGCATGACAGAGCTACACTCTCAACATTAGCATAAATCAACACACAACAAATTTCCACTCTTTCATTATGATATGTTCAATTTATTAACCATGGAAAAAAACAGTAACACTTATAGTATAACCATACACTTTAACTGGTACTTTTAGAATACATTTTTAGTCCTTTTAAAAAACCTAAAATCCTATTATTCTTGATGTTATAAATCTATTAGAATTCTGCAGCACAATGGCTTACTATTCAAAATGGAAAAAGCCTCAGGACTAAGTCATACCAACTAAAACTTGAGAAATTTATGTAGTAAAAAAAAATCTGTTAATAACTTATTTTCTCAAGAGTTTACATTATTCCTCAATGCCAATCTAAGGAACTATATTGAAATCTTTAAAGGAGTTATTTTTTCATAAGCCAATCCCATTCACTGACACAGTAAAATCTTTGGTTGGTGCATAAACAAAATATGTTTCTGTTACAAACCTGGGCTCTTTTTTCTCTAAGTTCTTGCTGTTGCAGTCTCCTTTTTTCTCGTTTTTCTTGCAATTTCTCTACTTCTTTCACACAATTAGATTTTCTACGTGCTAGAAGAAAAAGATGAGCTGTAGAAGTATAGTTTTCTTTTTAGAGTATTGTACTTATACACAAAATTTTATGTATCAATGTAATTTTACCACATACACCCAAAAAAAGGTACACAATGACAAAACATGCCCATGACAAATATGTGTACTTATGAGCTGCTTTAACAAAACTAGGAACAGGACAAAATACGAGTAAGAGTCATGAAAAGTGACTCTAACATACTGATACATGTCATCTCTTGGTTTAGAATCAAAGATCTTTGAACTGATGGATAAAGGAGCATATTTCCTCTGTAACATCTGTCAAGATCATCTGGCCAGTATTTTAAATTTAAAGCAACTGAAACATTGTTATAGTTTTATATTATAAATTTTTTTCTTTCAAAATATACATTAAAAAACCCAATTAACAGACTAAACTAATAACAACAAAAATTTTCTACAATGGTAAAAATAAAACCTGTAATTAAACTTGCAATTTGGGGACTTATAAAATTGACCAAGAGAAGTTACATGTATGACTAAAATGACTGAATCCTTGATACATGATTTACATACAAGGGGGTCCAAATTCCTTTTTTGCAGCTTGAACTGGAGATATATCTGAAACACTACCATTCTGTTGTGCAGAGGAAGACTGTTCGGGAAGCTGACTAGGCCGCGCACGTGCAGAACCAACCACTGAAAGGGAAACACAATTTTCAAATATATGTAATAATCAATTCTGGTCAATACACTGACAAGCTGAAAGGTTTTCAAAGTAACATGTACAGACTTAGGTTTTACCAGTGGAACTGTAGCTACAAAACTCAATCTGAATAATTTATATAAAAACCAAAGCCAAGCTTGATTTTAAATAATCATTAAAAAAAAAAAGTGGGCAAAATAGAGATTTTATATGCACTCTCATTTTGAAAAACTCAAACAATTCAGACATATAGAAAGTAACAATGTAAAAGTATTTCAACCCTCTTTGTATTTTAAATCCCACTCTGCTCCTCAAATAGGCAAATCTTCAACAGAGAATTTCCTACTGTGGATGTTACAAAAGTGGAAAAAACAATATTGAGTTAAATATAAACGTCACATTTTACAAAGAAATGTAAATTTTCAGAAGACTCAAAGAATAGTGCTGAGAGTGCAGGCCTTTCCGTCTACCTTGACTCTCTCCCCTAATACCTACGGCTGTCCTCCCTCATCATCTGTACATACAAGGAAACATCACTACTAGAAAGGACCATTCTGAACAGCAGAAAAGGATTAACTACGCTTTACATCACTCAGCTGAAAACATATGAGAGTCCTGAAATTAACTACAATTTATACCTATTCAACTTGTCTTCAGCTACCCATGATCCTTTTTAAGTGTTAGCCAAAAAATTATGTAAAAATGTCAATGATAAATTTACCCTTGTTAAATCAATTGACTACTTCCCCATTCCTTTCTTTCTCATAATACTCTCTTCAAATCTGAAAAATGATTGAGTAAATAAGATGAATCAAAACTGCACATAACATGGAATTTCACATTTATCATATACCTTTACAAATCATTTTTTAGATATCACTGACATTATTGTCTTGGGAAATCAAGAAGATACAATCTTAAAAATTAGCCATGTAAAGTTTAAGTGAATAATAACACCAGGGGTAATGTTTACTTTTGATTTACCTTGGCAGGGCCATAGGCAAAATTAATACATAAAAATTTTACCTCTATTATCTCTTGGAGGAGGTTCATTCTTAATAGAAGCCACAGTTCGTCGATTCTATAATAAAGAAAACATTCATTTTACTTTCTCTCTTTATTCCTCATATATACATCTATCATAATCAGCTTCCTTTAATTAAACAAAAATAGATAAGACATACAAAAATACAAAACTAAATGGAAAAAGGGAAAAAATAAATGGAGAAAAACTAAAATTATCTTATAATAAATTACCAGTAATGCCATCAATATTCAAGTTTATTTAAATATCCTGCCACTGTCCCAAAATAGGCAGGAATTAAAATGAGCCAGGTACTGTTCTAAGGGCTTCCTATGTATTAATTCATTTAATCTTCACAACAACCCTATGAGGTCATTATTATTGCTATTCTGGATTCACAGATGAGGAAACTGAAGCAAAAATAGATTAAATAATTTCATTAAAGTGGGTGTTTTTTAATCATCATGCTATCCTTACAAAATCATGTAATACATTTCATCTTTGGACGTCAGGAGTAAGTAACAAAACAATTTTTAGGCAATGTACAGATCATTGTTAAACTGAAACATCAAAATACTATGAAATACACTGTTGGTTTTTACTAAAAGGTTTCATTAGACTTTTAAAGACTTTAAACTGAGTACATAAGGGCAGCAAGTTTTTGGTCCTATTCTTCATTTACCAAGACTTTATTTAATATTCACCTAAAAAAAAGATACCAAATAATGCTGTGAGTTTCAATGCTAACTGCACATCAAATCAGATGGCTACTATTAAAGAATATTGATGCTAGGGCCACTCTTTAGATAAAATAAAACTAAATCTCTAGAAGTGGGGTTAGGAATCAAGTGTATTCTGAAGAATTTCCAGGTGATTCTAATACACAGCAAAGGTTGCTAAGGACATATCAATAAGGATAACCTATGAAGATCCTTCAAAGCTGTGAAGCCAAATATGAAAAACAGTCCATTTACAAGGGAGTAATTCTAAGGGGGATCACTAAGCAGAGATTCTTAATATATATGCTGAAATTATAGGAGCTGAAAATGTCTAACATTCATACAAGCAGCATGTTTTGCTGATATTGTTGAATTTCTATCATATTATATGTGGATGCCTATGAATGCCTTCCATGCAAGACAGTGAGCTCCTAGAGGGCTAAAATCTCATTAATCTCTGTAGAATATAAAATCAACAATGTAGTAAAAATTTTTGAACACAAAGAATTGCAGATTTAACAACTGTCAGGGACTATCTGACAGTTCTCTGATTTTTAAAAAGTTGTATTTTGATACAAAGTTTTAACATTGAGACATTTCAATAGAGAAGAGTAATTACTTTAAAATAATGTAAAAATCACATACATTAACTGTTAGGAGGAACATACCATGGCTTTAAAATTTATCTTCACAGATAATACAGAAATAGTTAAACTAAAATGTCATCTCATTTTTAAAAATAAATCTAAACAGCAGAATTACTATTTGAAAAGACTACTAAAATGGGAATTTATTATGAAAAAGAAACTAATTTTTCCTTTATCAAAGTCATATGTATTCACTCAACCAATACTAACAAGCAAACGATTTTGATCAATGTCTTCTAATAAACTACTAGTCTTAGGAAAAATCGTAACCAGTCATGAAATTTCTAGGATCTAGAATTGTGATTTTAAAGGATTTTCAATCCTTTAAAGTATGTGTGTGTATATATACATGTAGATGGCAGAAAGAATTAAGGTTTTTCTAAAAGCAAACAAATACATACTCTTCACAGTCCCATTTCAAACAAGAATACACACACACACACCCTGCTCTGAATTTGTATCACTAACCTTTACAATTTTGTTTACTTTGGCTGAGGATGTTGGAGGTGGGGGTGTCTCTGGACTGGGCTCAATTTCTTCATCTGGTACAAGGTCAGGGTTAAGTGAAAAGATGCTCTCCAGGTCAATCTGTTTTACAAAATGCATACGTTTTCAGAGTGAATTTAGACAATATTTCATTTTCAAATAAATTTATACATAAAGGATAAATGTTAAACAATTTTAGCCTAATGAGTAGTATTACCTTAAAAATTAGATTACCTAGAATTACAACCAACATCTATTTATTTAAAAGAAATCTCTCTTAAGGTAGTATGTTGTGGTCTGATTATATGTCTAATTACATGAGATATGCAGGAGACATCTAACTTTCTTTGAGTGAAATTTTTTGATCACTTTGAAGGTTTTTCAAGGAATGACAGCAGATACATACACTATATTAAACTACACAGTTTTCTGTTTTGTTTCATATTCGGAATCTTGATTTTAAGACCAGAAATAAAATTTAACCTAGTGATCATACCTCTTTGCCTTTTGTATCTCCATTTTCTATCCATTCAACAGTTACACTTTCGTTATCTTCATTTAAAGATGTTACCATTGCTTGATGTATTCGGCCTAATTGGGAATAAAATATACACTTTTAAAATGTTACAAATTATGGTATCCCTAAACACTGTCAAAAATAATTTTATAATTTACAAGTTTAAAGACTATGATACGAGGGATTTGCACAGATTCTTGGGATTGGGGAATGAACTTTGTCTATAGAACCATAAATGAATTTGCCACTTGTCAAGACCAAGAACTCAAGAAACTGGATTAGACTGAAAGTTTTATTTTCAGCATAGGTGATAAATGGTTACACAGTGGCATGGAATGCCTGAAATTTTATACTGTTACAACAGCTTGAATGTTAAAGTGTCCGTACTATGAGCCAACAATGATCCTGAAGAACACATAACAAAAATTCATGAAGCAATTTTTAATACTATATAGATATAAAATACTTTTAACTTAAATTTCACTATCATTCCCTGTACAATTGATCAAATTGTTTAGAAATTATTAGGAAAAGGAATCTGAGTCCAAAAAGTCCAGTTATTTTTTCTATATGGGCTCATATAAAAATTAAGTGGTGAATACATATAATCTTGTTAAAATTTCAAATATTGAAGATTTAAGGGGCTTCCCTTGTAGCTCAGTCGATAAAGAATCTGCCTGCAGTGCAGGAGACCTGGGTTTGATCCTTGGGTTGGGAAGATCCCCTGGAGAAGGAAATGGCAGCCCACTCCAGTATCCTTGCCTAGAAAATCTCATGGACAGAGGAGCCTGGTGGGCTGCAGTCCATGGGGTCGCAAAGAGTCCGGCATGACTGAGCGACTAACACTTAACAATACATATCTATTAGAAAAGAGCTCCAGAGCTTTATAAAAAAAAAGCTTATTTGAAGATTTAAGTATATACTGTCAGCAATATATTAGTGCTTTTCTTATTAGTGCTTTTTTAAAAACTAAAATATATTACTGGAATCTTTCCACGACAGCATTATGGATCAACATTAATTTTAACAACTTCATAGGCATTCTATACAAGGAATACATCATAATGTATTCTTTTAATAAGAAGAATTTAAACTGTTTCCAATTGTTTGCCATTAAAATTAATGTTGCACTGAGTATAAGTACACAGTATGAATGTTTTCATTAATAAAATTTCTAGAAGCAGACTGGGTTAAGGAAACTGAAATTTTGACAGTTACTTGAAAATTGGTCTCTATATTCCCACCAACGATGGGGCCTATTCTATATCCTCATCAACACTGAGCATTATCAATTTAAAATATTTTTAGCAATATGATAGGTTAGACCTTTAAGCTACTACTTTGTGAGCACATATACATCAAAGACTGGCTCATTTAAAATCTACACTGGTTCATTTAACATTACAAACATACCTACGAAGTAGGGATTTCTTTCTTTAAAATGAAGATACTGAGGCTCACAGTCACACAGCTATTAGTTGGCATATATCTGAACCTCAGTCACATGCAAAAGCACTTGCTATTATCACTATGTTTCTCTACTCTCCTAAAATTAAGCTGACGAGGAAGATGCCTGTGTGGTTTAAATTCCAAATACCCCTGGAAACATTTATAAGCTGTAGCACAGATCCTCAACGCTCACTGTGTACCCAGAAACTCCTAGAGAGTTTTCTTTTTTTTAAAATAAAATGATGTTGGCCTGAGTTTTACCCCAAATAGTATCATTTGTTACCAATTCCACGGCAATCACCTTGGTATAAGTCACCAAGGCCTTAATCTTGGATTATGGCAATTCTCTCCCAACTACTCTCTCTCTTCTACTGCCTATTCTTTATAGAACAGTCTAAACATTCCTGGTGAAAACCAAGTCAGATTATTCCTTTGCTCAAAACCTTCCAGTGGCTCCCATCCCACACAGAGTAAAAGCCAAAGTGCTTCCAGTGGCCATTAATGTCCTGAAACAAAGCCCTACACGATAGGACCCCTCCCTACCTCTGTGACCTCATTCACCCCTGACTACCGTATTTCTCCAGTTTTACGTACTGATCTCTGTCTCACACAGTATTTTCGCTCCCCTCAAAAAGTTCTAAATGGGTCAAGGACTAAAATGTGAAGACAAATATAAAAGCAACTGAGTAAATAGTGGGGTCATTTATTCAGATTAAGTGGACATTAGGGAAGCAAGTGTTGGTAGTGGAGGGAAATGATGAACTGGAAAATACTGAGAGGATTCAAGGGAGAGGCTTTTTAGGGAAATTAGATAACGTTCACTGAAATTTGATTTGGACAGAAATTAGGTAAGTAACCAGTACAAATAGTACGCGTCAGTTGGGTCCTTTGGGAAGCAGATGTTGAGACAGTTATGAGAACAAAAGGTTTACTGTAAAAGATAAAAGGAGAAGGAAACAGGACTGGTCATGGAAAACTTTCAGACTGTGATGCATTAGCTGAAACCTGTAAAAGAAAGGAGACACAAAGCAGGATTAAGCAAAGGAAGCCTCAGATCGTGAGGCAGATCTGACAGTCTTGGCCAACCCTTCACGGAGCTCCAGAGCAAAGACTAACCACTAAAGGAGCCCCACAGAGGGCCAAAATGGAAATGCTCTAGTACTCATGCCCACTCACTAGCTGAAGGTTTCCCAGGAAACATCAAGGCCTCAGCTCAAGAGCTAAGGAGCCTTAAAGATATTAACAGCTGAGGCTATCAGCTAAATGTACTCCCTGAAGCGCAAGAAGTTCCCCTAAGAGGAGCTACCACGGCTTGCATCAAGCCCCAAATTTATCACCATCTCTATAGCATGAGTAGTGAGGCTGAGACCCAGCAGCCACTTGTCCCCCACCCCAACACCTTTAGCAGCCTCCAACCATAATATCCACTAGTAGGGCCAAGAAGATTATTGCAAAAAGGTTAACATAACATATTGATAACAATTTCAATAGGAAATGACCCCAAAGAAGATGTATCTGAGCACTGAACTACCATAAATAACTTCCAGCAGGAAATAGAGAGGCTGTGCTTGAAGTTGTTGAGCAGTACAGATAGGGATCTCCATGCAATTCCCAACAGAATTATCACATTAATGAGACTAGGGAAAAGCATGTGAATGCTTCAAAAGGCAAGTCCAACACCATCATTCTTTTTTTGGGGGGTGTGGCATAGGATCTTGGCTGCTACATGGGCTTTTCTCTAGCTGTGGTAAGAGGAAGCTACTCACTAGTTGTGGTGGCTTCTTCTTGGGGCGGTTTCTCTTGTTGAAGAGCCTAGGCTCTAGGCACGCAAGCTCAATAGTTGCAGCTCCTGGGCTTAGTAGCCCCTTAGCATGTGGAATCTTCCTGTTCAGTTCAGTTCAGCTCAGTCGTGTCCAACTCTTTGCGACCCAGTGGACTGCAGCATGCCAGACTTCTCTGTCCATCACAAACTCATTCATGTCCATTGAGTCAGTGACGCCATCCAACCATCTCATCCTCTGTCGTCCCCTTCTCCCGCCTTCAATCTTCCCCAGCACCAGGGTCTTTTCAAATCAGTCAGTTCTTCACATCAGGTGGCCAAAGTATTGGAGTTTCAGCTTCAGCATCAGTCCTTCCAATGAATATTCAGGACTGATCTCCTTTAGGATGGACTGGTTGGATCTCCTTGCTGTCCAAGGGACTCTCAAGAGTCTTCTCCAACACCACAGTTCAAAAGCATCAATTCTTCAATGCTCAGCTTACTTCATAGTCCAACTCTCACAACCATACATGACTACTGGAAAAAACCATAGCTCTGACTAAACAGACATTTGTTAGCAGAGTAACGTCTCTGCTTTTTAATAACTTTTCTTCCAAGTAGCAAGTGTCTTTTAATTGCATGGCTGGAGTCACCATCTGCAGTGATTTTGGAGCCCAAGAAAATAAAGTCTCCCACTGTTCCCACTATTTTCCCATCTATTTGCCATGAAGTGATGGGACCAGATGCCATGATCTTAGTTTTCTGAATGTTGAGCTTTAAACCAACTTTTTCACTCCCCTTTTCACTTTGATCAACAGGCTCTTTACTTCTTCTTCACTTTCTGCCATAAGGGTGGTGTCATCTGCATATCTGAGGTTACTGCTATTTTCCCTGGCAATCTTGATTATAGCTTGTGCTTCATCCAGTCCAGCATTTCCCATGATGTACTCTGCATATAAGTTAAATAAGCAGGGTGACAATATACAACCTTGACGTACTCCTTTTCCTATTTGGAGCCAGTCTGTTGTTCCATGTCCACTTCTAACTGTTGCTTCTTGACCTGCATACAGATTTCTCAGGAGGCAGGTGAGGTGGTCTGATATCCCCATCTCTTGGAAGAATTTTCCAGTTTGTTGTGATCCACACAGTCAAAGGCTTTGACACAGTCAATAAAGCAGATGTTTTTCTGGAACTCTCTTGCTTTTTCGATGATCCAACGGATATTGGCAATTTGATCTCTGGTTCCTCTGCCTTTTCTAAATCCAGCTTGAAAATCTGGAAGTTCTCAGTTCATGTAGTGTTGAAGCCTAGCTTGGAGAATTTTGAGCCTTACTTTGCCAGCGTGTGAGATGAGTGCAATTGTGTGGTAGTTTGAGCATTCTTTGGCATTTCCTTTCTTTGGGATTGGAATGAAAACTAACCGTTTCCAGTCCTGTGGCCAACTGCTGAGTTTTCCAGATTTGCTGGCGTATCGAGTGTAGCACTTTCACAACATCATCTGGATTTGAAATAGCTCAGCTGGAATTCCATCACCTCCACTAGCTTTGCTTGTAGTGATACTTCCTAAGGCCCACTTGACTTCACATTCCAGGATATCTGGCTCTCGGTGAGTGATCACACCACTGTGGTTATCTGGGTCATGAAGATTTTTTTGTATAGTTATTCTGTATATTCTTGCCACCTCTTAATATCTTCTTTTTCTGTTAGGTCCGTACCGTTTCTGTCCTTTATTGTGCCCATCTGTGTGAAATGTTCTTGGTATCTAATTTTCTTGAAGAGATCTCTAGTGTCTCCCTTTCTGTTTTCCTCTATTCCTTTGCATTGATCACTTAGGAAGGCTTTCTTATGTCTCCTTGCTATTCTTTG